CCGCCAGCAAGGAGCCGCAGCGGCTTGCCCTGTTCATTTTTCTGAGCCATAGCCAAATGAAATTGAAGCCAGCAAGGAGCCGCCAGCAAGGAGCCGCAGCGGCTTGCCCTTTTTTGGGCCAATCGCGGGCGCGCCTGCCAAACCAAGTTACTGAGCTCCGGCATAATCTCCAGCTGCAGCATGGATGCCACCTTGCCCAGGGCGCTCATGGCAGGCATTTTTGTGTAGGATCTGGTGCCCATCTTGCTCACCCCACGCACAATCCAAGATTGAGTGAGCAAGTACATTTGCTCCCGACTTTGCATGTCCAGTCATGCGCATTTACCTCGCGTCTCTGCTTGTGTGCGGCGCCCTCGGCTAAAACTCATGATTCTTGGTGTGCCGCTGGTTAAGAGACCTGTCATGACCTGTCCCCTTAGGTCCTCCAACACACCTCTCTGTCCCCACCTGTACCAGCTGCAGGGTCTCAGCCAAGGACTTGGCTTGCCAGGCTGCCGTGCAGGCCTCTCCCACGAATCGTGTCATGGTTTGTTTCACGCGACCTATCAGCGTCGGTTCCATTTTGTGGCAAATGATCATGTCCAACGGCGCCCTAACCACGCCGGAATATGGCAAACCCCACATTCGCCAATTCCGCTTAGCAGCATCATTGCTCGCTCCAAACGCCCGCTAAATTTAAACGACAAAGCCGACAACAGCTCGGCAACAACAGGCGAACAATCGGTGGCATTGGGGACAAAACAATAGGCACATCGCAAGCAGTGCGTCTCCAGCAACCGGGAATCGGGGGAAACATTTTTTCAGCTGCCATAAGGAAGCGTGGATGGCCAATCCCATATGGGATGCGTAACTCTCTTTGCCAGGTTCCAGGGATACCAATTCACTCACAGCGCGCCTCGCAATCCTCCAAGCACAACCGGCCCAGCAAAGTCGACAGGATGGCCGAGGAGCAGCCAGCAGGCATGAAGACCTCTCATGGCAAGATGTTTCAAAGGGAGAGGCGCGCCAGCTATTCTGCGTGCTTTGCGCAAGACATTCCATGTCTTGACTTCAAGATTGAACACTGTTCAACCGCCTTAACTCATGATGGCCAAAACGACCAGCTGTGAATCATGAACCTCCATGCCCCAGGTGATGAGTTCCAATGCTCTGGCACGGCTCTGCGCAATGACTTGAGGGGATTGTTCCTGGTGGAATTTTCCAGCACCGGGTCTAACGAACGGAACTGTCTCAGTTCCTGTTGTTCCTGTTGTTGGGCCTGTTGCCCTTCCAACATGCGACTCGCGCGTGGGATCCCACACGCGAACAACACCTCTCCAGCTCACAGACCAAACCAGCAGAAACAACCGTGGCAACATACAGAACAAGTCACAAGAATGCATTGCAAACATTTCACACTCCACCGGTGCCATCCGCATCTTGCCGGCCGTTTGGCGCTTCGCCAGCCGGTTTCAGCCGACGTGGATGCCCTGCACGTAGGTAAGGAAGAGGTCATAGATCTCCTGTGCGCTTGGAACTGCCTGCTTTTCCACCATCAATTGGCCGAAACCAAATTGACGCTGAACCCATGGGAAAACACAAACGCCTCACGGAAAGCAAGGGCGGCCTTCAGGACTGCCGAACCAATTGCTGCAGGCTGTGAACATCCCCAAAGACGGGAGCAGCTTTTCTTGTTTGAACCTCTGGCAGTCAACGCACGCGGTCCGAAGGGAATGTGTTGCGTTGCCCTTCGGGGCCCCTTGGGCTCCGCCATCCGACGGAAATGACACGAATCGCACTCGGCCGGACTCCGCTCCTTGGCCTTCCGCTTCTTCTGCTCCGGACCTTAGAGAGGCGCGGTTTGGTACACACAACACATACAACTGTCCATCGGGTACATCATATATGAAGATGTGCATTTGTTTGTTTATGAAAACTACACTATACATTTAGGAAAACGGCTTGTTTAGGCTGTTTTGGGGCCATTTCCTGGGAGCTTCACTCGTTCGAGGCCAGCTTGCGAACTCTTCGTTTGATCTTGAATGGCCCTATATTTCCTTGCGAGCCGATGCGTTTGTGCCGAAGCCTTCAGTGGTGCGGATACCAGGCTGCCCGACCGGGCCTTTCAAGAAGGCCTCAAATGCCGCACCAGGGGCTCGTGGCGGGGTTGCTCCGGGAGGCTGCTGAGGTGACTCGTTCCCTCAGCAGCTTCCCGGGCCTCCCCGACATTGAGCCCCTGGTGTGCATTCCGTTAGTGCCAGGGGATCTCCCCCAATGTACAGACACGCGGCGAGAACAACTTGCTGCGTGGCGAAAGTGACAGACAAGGACTTCGGCGCATCTCACACGAGGGGGTGCGTCGAATTTAAGGTGCGCGGCCATTTCCTGTAGATTTTCCTGTAACCCAACCCCTTGATACATAGAGTGGAGATGGCCTCATGTGAATTATGAATGTCTTTCAGCCCGGCGTGGCTATTTTACCCTACTGGTCCCGTCTGGCACCAGTGGGTTGTCAAAAACGTTTAGATGAGCAACTTCCGAGTTTCCCACGACCCAATCAGACAAGCCAAGAAGCGACAACGTGAAGACAAAGCAAAGGCATAGCAGAGCAAAAACACGTCCGAGCAAGGCATAGCAAAGCAAAACATGGACAAGCAAACACGTAGCAAAGCAAAACATAGCCAAGACATAGAACGGCAAAGACATATTACTCAAAGGCGCAGCAGCTAGCAAAGATATAGCCAAGCAAAGGCATGGCAAATCATCCCTTTGAGCACTTTCGGCTGGTAGGCTGTTTCGCCGCTTTTAAGTTGCCGGATCTTGGACAAGTGGAAGTGGAAGGGGCCTGCTACGCTTTGCGCATAGTCTTCGCGGACCTCACCGCTTGTGGAGAGGTCAACTTGTTCACTAGCCCGGCTTCCGGGCAGCAATCTGGAGCAAAAGCTGGGTGCTGCATCCTTGAAAAAAAAGAACAGACAAAAAAAATGGCCCGCTTCGTGCGACCACCATTGAGCAATTCCTCACAGGTCTTTCTCTTTCTGCCAGTCAAGCAGCTTCTTGTGAATCCACACCACTTGATGATCCTCTCTCTGTGCTGGTGCTCGTCTTCGAGCAGGGTGACATTATTGTACTTGGCCCAGTTGCCAGGACAACTACATGATTGTTTTGTAATTACGTATAACTCCTCCATGCTGAACAACATGAAAAAGAAAGGGCACCCCTTTTTCTCACAACCCACATGTTCCACAAGTTTTTGTTGCTTCATCTGAAAGATGCTGTGATGTTGCAGCTCCTCAGCAAGCCCGTTGATTACGAAGTTGCACGGCTCAAACGGGAGTCCCAAATCATCGCAGCCCTCACCTCACACATCTGCTCCACTTGCTATTGTTCGCCACAAATTTTGCGGAATTCGCATGGAATCCCCAAGTGCAGGGTCGCTGCTTGATGTCCAAATGGCTTGTCCAAGTGGCTTAAGGGAGGAAGCCAGGATTGGCCTTCCCTAAAAAAATAACTTTGGAAATCCAACAAGGGCCATAGACCTTCACGCTCGCTTTACCCCGCATCAAACGCCGCCGCTTTGGCCGCTCTCAGTTTCGAGCCCGAGTCCCGCAACTTCCCCTCGTTGGAGTGCAGCAGGTCTGACTTGCTCGGGGGGCGCCTGGCTTCCCCAAATGCTGCTGGAGCGCTTCTTGGGGGCTATCACGAACGCGTCTGTATTATCTAGGTCCTCCAGTAGACAGGTTAGAAGAAGGGTACCCCTTTTTTTCTGTAGTCTATGTTAGTAGGGGAAGCCTCCCCCAAAAAAGGGTAAAAGGGCACTACTGGGGGACCTATATATATATATATATATATGTACATAACCGAGTTGGAGTGATTTCCATGCTCCTTTTGCGAATGTTTGTGGACGCGCTGGCTCGTGTGCATGCGAGCGGCAAGGCTTCAGAGCCATTCGATTTAACATGCAAACAAGCCCAAGTCAAGATACGTGGGCCGATCACAACCTGCCCATGGACAATATTAATTCGCACGCTGAGCCCATGACGGATGTTTCGAGATACCTTCAAATCACCATCAACCGGCAATGATCAACAAATACATAGTTGTAGTCCTTACAGTGACTGTGTGAGCAAGCTACACGTCTGTATTTAGGTCTCCTGTCTTGTCTATTTTCCTTTTGATCTTGCTTCACCTCGTCACCTGGGCAATGATCTTGATAAAACACGGCCGCAAAACGGCGCTCGCCTAATCAGCGGCTTGGGCACGTTGTTGCCTGAGGGCTCGTACCTGAAGGTGTAGACCTCGACTTGTGGCACTTCAAAGCGCAGCTGGGTCCACGGATGGACGCCGACAGCTGGGATTTGCAGACCCTTCCGGCTGAGTCGAACAAATATCTAAACTCACGTGCCTGAGCTAAGGGCCATGTCCGAATTGGCGCTCTGGCTTCGGTAGTTCTCCTTAGGTCCGACGGTCGCACATGACGGCCTCAAGCTCACACCAACGGCTTGATGCTTGGCCTAGTCTCAGGATCTGGTGCCTATCTAAAACAGAGTATCGAACGAGCCCAATCCGCGCATTACCATCATTACCTTACCGCGAAGCAGGCTCACCTCAATGGTTCTTATTTCTTTCAAAAGCAACTAACTCTCTCCTTTAAATGAAAATGATGACTTGCAACCGCCCATTTGGTGGAACCTTGTGAAGCCTGGGAAGCTCTCTGGACATGGCCAGCGTCGCTCTTCCCAGGCCGGCGGTGCGCATCCCGGCGGTCCCCGTAAGATCTGCCGTAGCTCCTGGCACAAAAAGGCCTGTGCCGAAAAAGAAGAGAGCAGTTGAACGAGTTTTCAGCTGGAACCTTTGCCATGGAAACACACGAGTTCAGCTGGAACCTTTGCCATGGAAACACAACAAAATAAAAAGAAACCAGGGAAACCATCCTTTCTGCCATGCATCTTGTTGCAAGACGGCTGCAACTAAGCAGTATGCCTAGGCGCATTGGCTTAGTCTATCCTTTGTTGGGAAGCGTGTAGAATATCTCTGTTTTTTTCTGGCAATCCCCACAGGCAAGCGGCAACCTGGCACCAGGCTCCTGCCCTCGCCTTTTGCAGAGAGGGGGATGCTGTGAGTGGTGCGTGGTGCTGTGTAAAGCACTCATTTTGCAAACGTAGAAGCAAGTCACTTACACAGCAACGCAACTGCAGTGAACAAGGACTTATGGAGCTTAATGAGGAAATCTATCAGATAGCATGTCTATCTTAAGATAGGATTTAGAAAGGATTTTAATAGGAACTTCTTTGCAGATATGTCTTTGGTTCAACTTAGATAGGATTTACACAAACCTCAATAAGGAAATAAATCAGCTAGATAATGCGTATCTCAATTTGGTAGCACTGACATTGCTGATATCTCATGTCTTTGTTGGCGTTTGCCCTTTGTAAGGGGCAGGCCAATTGAAAGACACATTTTCTGTACTAAGTTCCATTGAACATCTGGTTAAACTTCAAGAAAAGATGCGAAATTATGATTCGATTCTTGAGCTTTAGGTACACTGTCTACTTGAGCTGTTTCTTGATTATACTCATTTCAACTTGAGTCACATATTCATCAAACTCTTTTGGAAACACCTTCTAGTTCCAAACGATACCAACATAGATCGGGGAAACTCTTTGCATACCTCCATAAAGTTTTTCGGTTTGAATCTCAGAAGGTCGGAAGCCAAAGGTAGTTAGGAGGCAAAAGTGATTAGGCCAAACAAACACACCACTGAGAACATCCCTTGGACATCCCTGTCGGTTCTCAGATCAGGCTCAATTGATGGCTACGTTTGCCCGTGATGCCAGAGTTGATTGCCGGACGCACTCAAAAGTGAAGTCAGCACGGAGGATCGCGAAGGGTACCTCTGTTCTGCGTGCGGGTTCGCCACAGAGTCGCCACGGTCTCGCCACGGGGCGGAATGTTGCCCACTGGCACGGCCGCGCAGACTGTTTCGGAGGCTTCTCGGAGGTCTATTTTGCGTGGCAGGCGCAGCACTTTGGCAACCTAAGGTGCAGATTTCGTGGCATGCGCCATATTTGTGCCCGAAAGAAAGAAAGAAATACAGAAATAAAGAGAAAGAAAGATAGAAATAATTCAAGAAAGAAGAAATAAAGAGAAAGAGAAAGAGAAATAAATAAATAAAGAAATAAAGAAATAAATGAAGAAAGAAAGAAATAAAGAATAAAGAGATAAAGAAAGAAATAAAGAAAGAAAGAAAGACTACATAAAAACATCATTAAAAAATAGAAAAAAGAAAGAAAGAAGGAAAGAAAGAAAGAAAGAAAGAAAGAAAGAAAGAAAGAAAGGAAAGAAATAAAGAAATAACTAAAGACAGAAATAAAACAGAACAAAAAAAAAGAAAGAAATAAAGAAAGAAAAAAAGAAAGAAAGAAGGAAAGAAAGAAAGAAAGAAAGAAATAAATAAAGAACAGAAAGAAGGAAAGAACGAAAGAAATAATTAAAGAAAGAAAAACATCAAGAAAACAAGAAAGAGACAAATAAAGAGCGAAACCCCCCAGGAAAAACAGCTCTTCCTATAGGCACTCTTCTCGCTTTAGAAACTTCCGCCCACCGGCTTCGCCGGCTCTACTGGTACTCTGGATGGTCTCCAACCAATGTGTCTCTGGCCTGAGGCACCATTCTTGAAATGGCATCGTCTCCACATGCACGAACTCACCTAAGCCAAAACAACTATATGCATCTCAGGCCCCCCCCCAAAAAAAAAACACACACACACAACACAATGGGGAAAAAGAAAAAAAACACATTCTGACTCGCATGAATCACATGACTCGTGAAGATTCCTCTGCAGGAGCCTGCCTGAGGAGCGCAAAATCGAACCAAACAACGGCAGACCATTGGCTTGCCGCTCAAGTGCACTTCAATGCAATCAAGGAGCTATTCTGTGCTCCCCCGAGGATGTCTGAAAACCTTAGTTTCGAGCCACGGACACAAATCAAGCAACCATGAAAAGCTTGGCACGAAACAAGCATGGCTAATCGCAGTCAAAGCACCGAACTCCTCACAGGCGGCAGGGCTAGCACTGCGTGCTGCACTCTGAAAGATTGGAATCACATGGTTGTCTTTGTTTGAGGCCGCCCTGTTCGCATGCGGAGACTTGGAGAAAACCCATTGGAGCTTCCTCGAAGAGATTGCAAAGGCAAATCCAGATCCTCGGGAAGTCTTACATGCTCCCTGAAATTATTGGGAAGAGGGCCTTGCCAAGGGGAAAGGCCAAGCAAGCTGCGACACTAAGCCTAAGTATTGGAACCAGCCCTGTACCTGAAGGGTTGATTTTCGTCAGGGGCTGCAGGCTATCTCCAACCTTGCGTTGGCATTTGGGAGTTGGTCCTCACGTTCTGACCCCTGCGGTTCTGGTTTAGCATCCGCCCGCTCCCCCAGAAAATGGTTGAAGCTCGAGCAAAAACCCCACAAAGGGGTCTATCTGGTGGCCCTTCACGCGTCTCCTGTAGCACAGGAGTTGGATGCTACCTTCACCACGCCACCTGCTTTCACGAATCCACGCAGGGCCTGGCAAGGCAAGACCCTCACAGCCCTTGACGCATGTTCCATTCTACCGCCCTTACCCAGGAAACATGCGGTTGCCTAGCGCGCACGGAAGGCTGTGGTTTCCACTTGACTTTTAGTGAGACACAAACATGGGACCTTTGTGGCACATCTGCATTCACTCCCATTCCAGGACCCCGGTCAAGCTGTGCTGCATTTCAGCATTCCACTGATTTCCACTGCAAGGCGCTAAGACAAAGAACGCCGATCAACAGTTGGAGTGAGCTGGCACACCCAGCAACCAGAGCAAAGCGTTGAGAAGTACAGATCGGTGAATCAGGAAGCGGCTGTCATTCGCGAAGTGGGCCCAGTCAGAGGCGACCAGTTCGAGCAATCCAACGCCAGTTTTCCATCATCTAGACATTGCAACCCAGGCAACCTTGTACGTCAGCTATATTGCCACTGCTCCCCCCCCAAACAATCAACAAGACTAACGCAAGAAGCCCCAGCTTCAAGGAACGCTCCTTTTTCCAATTCAAGGAGGGAACTCCTAAAGGCTTGGCTTCCATTCGGGCACCCTCCCCGCGGGCATGCCGACTCCCTGTTGGACCCGCCCGGAAGAAGAGGTGCATGAGGTTCTCATGGCGCCATCCTAAGAGATATCCGCTGCACCCATGCGGAGATGCATGCAGGAAGCAGTCGCAGTAGTCGCGTAGACAGCGTTCCCTACATCTTCCCCTTAAAAATTCACCCCATCTGCTGACATGTCGGATCAAATCACCCTATCTAAAAATGACGTTCTGACTGTTCAAACCAGAAGCAGGAAAATGCGATGTTAGTTGGGCCTGATGATGTAGATGGTAGGGGCGTTCGTGGGTCGTCTGGCGTCTGGAAGGGTTTGCATCCCCGGCTGCTCAGCTTGACTCAGCTGCTTGCAGGGTTTCTTAGAGCATCCCACAACCATCTCGTGGCAAGTATTTGGATCCCGCAAATCAGGTGATGATGGTTTATCCTTTCAGGGGCCCGAGAAGACCATATGCTCGTCTGTCCTTGCCGCCAAAAAGCGCACGAAAGGATGGCCGTCATAGAATCCCTGCACAACCCCGGCGTGGGGGAAGTTGTAGTAGACGGCCCCGAACTTGTTCACCATATCCTTCCAATGGCACATTGCAACTGCAGACTTGCGGTGTTTTTCCAAACCAGACCTGTCCTGACAGGCAAACTTGCCACTTCTTGCACACATATGCGAACATGGCAGCTCTCAGCAATAGCAAGTGCTTTCTCCTACGGGATAGTAGTGGAAAGCACTAGGGGCCCCGTGAAACTCACCTCGTAATCATCGACACGCTAGGGCGCATGTATCCGAAGGGCAGGGGGTTACTCAAAGCCCGGAAGATCTTCCCTCTACACCGCTTTCTACTTACCTACATGTCACATCGGTTGCACCAATTGCATTTGTGCATGATATACGTGCTCACTTCCATATGCCATGTGGTATGTAGGTGTTCACCGCACGCACGCATACTTGACAAAGGACAGCCAAAGCTGTGAGTGCAATCAATCTAACGTCGGGTGCAACGTGGACGCCTGAGTGACACAAGCAGCTCAGCTATTTTACCTGAGTTTCAGGAACCCCACATAGGGATTCCTGAATAGTAAGTGGGGGGGGGGTTGAAAGCAAAAGGGGTCGACATTCGTCCAACCTCTGCCAATGGGGAAGCCAACGTTAGAACCGTCTGCAATCTATAAATCATCCTTCAAAAAGAGGCCAAATGACGCACGACTCCCAGAAAAACCTCCCGGGCCTGGAACCTGGTGTCCACGGCCAACCGGGTACCGTCCACGTTGTGCAGAACTTCGGCATCTCGGCTTTCCAGCTCCTCGCTTTCGTGATAGTGAGAGGTCCGACAACAAACGCGAATCAGTGAAGTGGAAGACTCCGTATTCTTCAAACCAAATCGGGAATGTTCAATACACAGAAACCATTTGGCTTGCAGTGCCATGCAGCTCAACTTGTCCAAAAAGAGCAACTTGTACCCCACCCCCCCCCCGGGCAAATATCCCGCATGTTGGGGTGAGGGGGGGGGGGGGGTGGGGGACTTGAACACACCCTGCTTTGGACACAATGACTGGCAAACCAATGGTAGTGCCTTCACGGTCTGGTCGATCTCCGCATAACGTTGGCCTTGGTTCATGTTTACTGCGGAACCTTCGGCCGCGCAGTTAAACGTTGATGGAGGCGCTGATCCTTTCTTCCTATTTAGAAACGGACCCTCAAGAATACAAAACGACCCCCACAAATTGCCAAATACAAGTTCCAAATAACTAAACTCCCCAGAAACCAGATGAACTCAGCCAAGCTCCCCGGATGTGCTTACTACCCACCTTTCAGTTGAAACGGGCCAAGCAACGCAACGTGGCTATGGCAGGGAATAGGCGCCGGTGAAACCAGCAGGTCTTTCCCGAAGCCCGAGCAACACTTTACTTCCACCTCAGAACGTTGCTACTTCAAATAACCCCCACCTGAGAAAGTTGCTTGGCTAAGCCAGACTGCAACCACACAGGCACCAAAAAGTCAATCCGACCGCGTGCGGGGCCTCAAGCATGCTACAAGCTGATGTGGCCACACAAACAACTGTCACAGGCTCTGTCGCAGCTGTCTGGCACAAGCTCTGTCGGCAAGCGGGCTGTGGCGTTCGGATGTGACGAATCTATCAACGCCAAACCTGTCTGGTGGGAAAAACACCGCAGATATCCAGCAGAACAGTGCCCTTGTGCAGTCCTACGGCCCCTTCAATCTAAACCTTGCTGACCTGCCATAAGTGCCAGTCACATATACGTACCCCAGTGATTTGAAATACATCCATGTCTTGCCCTCAAAGGCTGTGGCCCGGGAGAAAAAACACGTGGGACCACCCCCCTCTCGAGCTCAGGCACGGAGGATCTCGATCGTCTCGAAGGTTGTGGCCACAATTCTGCCCACGTGGCCAAGCGCCTGAAACCGTTTTTTGTCGCGCCCGTGCGGGAGGTGGGCTGCAATGCTTCAGCCTTCATGCTGGGCAAAAAATACTGGAGCCCCCTCCTTTCTGCAAGCCGATTGCTGATGTCTTGATGTCTGCCCCCAAAAGAGCGCCGGGTGATGTGGAGTGTTTTTACTAGGGACGGCCACCACTTTTAGTATGGACACAGGCCAAAATCAAGAATCCTTTTTGCCAGTGAAAGAAGTTAGGCACGAGGAACATCAGCATGGAGCCTACAACATTTCCACATCCTCAATTGATACCTACTGGCAGCATTCTTCTCCCAGAGGTAAAGGTGCCCGCAGAATGTGCTCAAACCTGACTGCAGTCACACGCGACTCTTCTCAAGGCATAAATCCCTTGGCCAGCTCCCCGCTTTCAAGTACCGTATGCGCAGGCCAGTGGGGAAGGGTTATTCAGTCAGGATCGCCTCTCTGTGCTTGGCTAGCAGCATGGAGAAGGTGAGGTTGGCATCGCCGATCTCAGCACAAACGGGGGCACTGGCGAAAAGCGGCGCGCCTCTGGCACGCGTGAGCGCACAAATATCCCAAATGAAACCCACATTCGGCTTCATGCAAACACCTCAAGGCACAGGACCATGATCACCATGATCACCATGATCACCGTGATCACCGTGATCACGTTGATCATCACCATTGTGATGATGATGATGATGATGATGACGATGATGGCGATGGCGATGGCGATGAGGATGATGATGATGATGATGATGATGAGGATGATGATGCTGATGACGATGACGACGACGACGACGGCGATGATGATGATTGATATTGATGTTGATGTTGATGTTGATGTTGATGTTGATGTTGATGAGGATGATGATGATTGATGTTGATGATTGATGTTGATGATTCGATGATTGATGTAGATGTTGATGATGATGATGATGATTATGAGGATGGTGAGGACTGTGAAGATCCTGAGGGTGATTGACGATGACGATGACGATGACGATGATGCTGGTGGTGGTGATGCCTATTGTTCGATGACGAGGGGAAGCAAGACAACAAAGACGACACACGCACAATAAAAAGAGCAGCCGGGGAATGCATTCGAAGCTGCCACCAACGCATCGGCCATCGGATCAATCAGCTCCAGGCGGTTGAACCTGGCACGGGGGGAGTCAGGTGCCTTCACAGAGGATGCAGCAGCCTGAAGCTACAAAGTTCGAATATATGGCTGTGGGTCAAAACCAATGGGATCCCATTTTGGGGTAGGTGAATTCACCACCCATTTTATATAGTCCATTTTGGTGGGGATCGGGATGTTCACTGGGGGTACGGGATTGTGACCCATGGCCATATAGACAGGCCATACCAGTTATGGCACCCCAAGAAAGGTCTGGATTGGATTTCTTCAGCTGTTTTGTTTGAGCTGTGAATGGCAACGCGCAAACAAATGGACACGTCGTAACGTCGTACTAATATCAGCAAATGGGGGTGCGGTTTCAACTTCAATGCAAAAAGTGAGCCCCACAATCTGCATTCCAGGCCTTTCTTGAAACCGAGACCTGTCCCCGAGACTTGAAGATTTCATTTCTATGTTTCCTGCAAGGTCTAGCCTCTTCGAAATTCGCGGGGGCCTAATCACAATCCATAATCCGCGCGGATTGTCGCCATTCCAAGTGGGCCTGACAAAGCCTCATACCAGTACCAGGCATCCACGACTCAATCCTGGAAAAATGACCCCACTGGGGCCCTTTCACATGCCCTAGTGTCATTTTCAGGCTGCCGAGCGTGTTGTTAAGATGGGTGGTTGTCCTTTGGATTCCTTGCAACGCAACGCGAACCAAGGTATCCTGATAGAAAGAAGACACGCCGACTGAAATCACACCTCCAAAAGCGGACTTTTCAGCCAACCTCGTCTGCCGTGTTGGGCTTCTTGATCTCTGAAATCATCTTGCCCCGTCCCCCCCACGTTCTTGCAACCCATGATTTTTCACCAAACCTCTTCTGCAGTGTTGGGCTTGATCTCTGAAATCATCTTGCGCCTGCCCCTTCCCCCCCATGAACCACAAAAAAAAATCAGATTCCACCAGACCAGTCGAAGGGTCGCGCCTTCCGCAGGTCAGCGCGCCGGGCTCCTCAGCCGCAGCCTCCTCCGTGCGGCAGACGGAGGACTCCTGCGCGCGGAATGCCGCGCGGTCCGCGGACGCGACTTGCTGGCGGAGTGCGCCGTGGGATTCCGGTGGAAAAAGCTGACCTGCCAGCTGAAGCCCTTGAAGATGATCTCACTTCCGCAACCTCGCCAAAACCCGTCCCCAAACTGTTCACCAAGATGGTCCAAACCCAGGAAGGGAATAACATCCGTAAGAAGCGAGTCGGGGGCAAGCCCCCCTTTTCTTCCGGGTGGTAGGTCCAACTCAGAAAGCGAGTGAAACACCCGTGAGTGGCTCCTCCAGAGTTGGGACCGCGTGAGCCTGCTCCAGGAGCTCTGCAATGGATCGCGTGCCATCAAACTCCTGGCCCGCCAAGACCCCGTTGGGGCTATCACCCACAGCTACACGGGCCGGTTGCTCAACATATGAATATGAGGTCTCAAGCTGGTCCAAGTGAGGCTGCCCAACTTGCCTTCTTTTCAACTCTCATTGGGATGCTTTGTGGCTTAAGCGGGGGTCAAGCGGCAAACACTCTGTGTCCCGTCGGTTCCCCCGAAGGGGAGCAAAGAAAACAGGCACCCGAGAGCATAATTGAACCCGCAACTGGGGCTAACCCTTCCCGCCAACTCCGCTATGACTAACTCATCCCGTTCAACGACCCTTCTGGGAAGGAATCTGGACGGCCATCCCTGACATTTTGATGGCAATCGGCTCCTGCAAGATGAAGCGCAGATCCTGCCCGAAGCGACTCTCTCTAGGGTCGAGTCAGCTCACTCCTTGCCCACGCGAAGCATTTCTGGGAGCTGTGGCTGAGGCCCCACCAAAAAAAGACGTCCAAGGATCAAAATGGCCACTCTCAGCTCAGAGCAGCAAGACATGCCCCTTCCAAACATGGACATTGAGAATGAACCAGCTGAAACTGTTTTCATACTTGCAACCATGAGCTTGTGCCCACTGAGGCGGGTGCATAGCCAACCTCACAAGGTAAGCTCGAAACCATCCTCAAAGCCTCTAACTTGAGTTGCTCCGTTGGAGTGCCACAACTGTCGCTATGTATCTGGACTGCTCTCAAACCGAAGAATGTAGCCATTGAAAATGATCAGTTGGGGAAAGGAGTTCATGACTTGGGCAGTGCGGTTTCTACTCTGATGCTGTCTGTCAGTAATCCTAAGGTTCGCCAAGCGAATCATTGCACTGTGATTACACTTGGGCTGACCTATGTGGCTCACGATGGCGCCACCTTGTCATCAAGGTTTGTCATCCCTTTGACTCATCAGCAGAAAGCAAACGCTAGCCCAACTACTTAACGCAAATGCGACACATGCCAAAGCAACAGCACTATCCCTGACCAAAGCGCCCAGCCAAGTTTAAAATAAACATTCTCCAATCCCCAACCAACGAGTACGTACAACATCTGCTCAAAACAAAGCGATTCAAAAACACACCACTAACATACCGCCAACTGCCGTACCCCTGGCAAGCCTGAAAGTAAACAATTCCAAGACTCCAGTTCTTTTGGATAGAGCCCTGGATGGTCAACGCTGCTTACCAAGCGGGCCGTTTGTACATACAAATCAATATCTACAAGTATTATACGTATGTGCATCATGATTCTGAGGGGGAAAACAGGCTTGCTCCCCACTTTCTAGTCAAGTAGGGAAACACAAAAGAGCACCGCGCCAACAATCACAACCCCAAGGCAACCAATTCACAATTCACAAATCACATCAAACCATCTCAACCACAACATCAACCATCCAGACCTGCTCCCTTCCGCATTCCGAGCCTTGTGGCTCAGCTCCCGTAGGGCGTCCTCATCTCCGCGCCAGCGCCGCAGGAAGGTGGTGACCTCAGAGCGCCTTGATCACCCCCCCCCCCTTTCCGGTGGTTGGGCCTGGGGCTGGGGGGTTCCATTTTGCCCTCAAGAAGAGGGGCTGGGTTCAACTCCAAATCCAAACCCATCTAAAACACTCCAGGGTTGCCTGCCTTGAGACGCAAAGTGAAGCAAGTTTCAAAAGAACCACGTTCGACCTCACAAGACCTCGACACCTTGAACAAACAAACCCTGGACCCCATAGCTTCTAATGAAAATAAATGGTTCTTCACGGATCGAACTGCGCGTATGATTTCCACCTGATATGGCTGTTTCGGCGTGGGCATGGAGAGTCAGCGCGTGATGTTGTCACTGGTAGCTGCTGTGCAACGTGTGATTCTCTCTCTCTCTCTCTCTCTCTCTCTCGTGCCATCGAATGTCTCGTCTGCAGAAGCGCAACGTGTGATTGAGCTGCTATGCAGGCAACGGCAAAACGCAGCACGCAACGGAAAATAATAATAATGCTAATCAAACTTGGCCATCCATCTGCATGAGTTATGCTCATCCGCGCAGCAACAGCCACGCCCGCGATGACAAAAAAACGGCCGATTCGAGGTCCATGCAACATCTACCGCTCGGCCTTGGCCTGGTCCATAAGAATCCTGGCAGAGAGGTGGGCAAATGGCCATGGGTCAAAATCCAAATCGTACCCCCAGAACATCCCAATCCAACCACTAAAATAGGTTCTAAAATGGGTGGTGAATTCATCTACCAACCAAAATGGGATCCCAAAACGGTTTTGACAACCACATTCAAATGCAACCACAGCACCCCGCCAAACCCTCAAAGGCACCTCACCCCTACAAGCGCCCGAACCCTTCCAGCGGCACGCTCTTCGCCGGTGATGGGAGACTGGAAACACCACTTAAGCGACTTGCCCGCGTGCAACACGCTGACCCAAGCAATCGTATGGTTCCTTGAAGCTGAATTTTCGCTGCACAATGCAACTGCCAATTGGCACCAAACGGGGCAGGAAACTGGAGTCCTTGTGGTCAATGCGAGTCCCACATTCAATCGCCGGTTGGTCCAGGGCACAAAAGGGTCAATTCATCCTTCCGTGTCCCAGTCCTCTCGTGCCCGCAGCAGTTTCCTCAGCGCGGCCGTCAGACCGGCAAAACAAGATCATCCTTGGCGGCCGTCCCTGACAATATCAACAACGGCCCACAACAACTCTGGGTGATTACTTCCATTTGCTCAAGCCCCCTGGAAAATATAATATTTCCAGTAGTGATAGATTCCCTCCAAAAACCAACAGAGAAAATAACACATATTCTTAAGCAACTGGATGATTGGTGACTCATCCGCCTCATCCAAAGCCTATGAACTACGACGGGCCCAGCAGCGTTACATGCACAAGTTGCCACTCCTTTTCTGTGAGCATCTGGTGATTTGATCTGACCTTTGGATACCTTTGGGTCCTTACGCCTTACGTGGCACTGGGCAAAAATGACAAGCAAGAAGCCAGCACCGTCTGTTTTCGAACTGCCCCAAACACCTGCTGCGCTTGGGACGAATGAAACTGTAGCTCAAAGCGACCAACTGGTCCGTGAAGGTGATCCTCGCCATGTGGGCATGTGTCAAAACAGAAAGATATCCTCCATGTGTTTTCCATTTAGGCCAACCTGAAAAAAAACATCTTTTTCTCGCAAAAGCGACCCCCATCTCCAGTCCAGGTTCTCATTGAGCTGCTCCGCGGGCGACTTCCCGTCCCGGCCATCTGCTGCCCGGGTGAAGGGGGCCGGCCTGTATTGAAAGATGGGACGTTTTTCGGGAGCAAAAGGGGGGGGGCAGGGCCATGGTCTCAGGTTGTATCTGGTAATTGTGACGTTTTTAGAGGGCTCCCTGTATTTCCCCTTAAGACATCACCCCCACCAAGGGGCACTCACCTTTCATGGGCAAAAAAACGTGATATTAAAAGCCGCCAAAAGGGAAATACAGGGACGCCTGTTCTTTTGGGGAACACCTAGATAGGGGATTTACGAAGCCATGTCATGTCAAAGCCATTTGGGAAACGTGGCGTGGTCCAACATTTGGGGGCGGGGATGATCCAATTGCCGATGGCCCCCCGTGCAGCACGTATCCTCTGACATCCTACGCACACACACACACACTCACTTCAAAAGGAGTGGGCATGCAATGAATATGACAAAAAATGCTTTTTTCTCAAAGGCAAATTAAATCAACATTGAGCATTGTAGCCCGTCAAAAACCTCGCCCCTAAGCCAACCGGAAAGCGAACCAAAGCATGCGTTTGCCGGGAGCTGAGCCTGAACATGGCCTTTCGGATTTGCTTGAGCCCATTCCAGGGTTCATGTCCCCGACGCGATCCTCTATTCCACAAACCCGAAACCGGCCCCTTGACCCCCCACGCAAACCTAAACCCCCCCTACGAAAAGAAAGAAACAGAAACAACCAAAACGAATTCCCTAAACCAGCAGCCAATGCTTGCATGCTGCGAAGCATCAAACGACCACAGAAGCTGGGCGTTGAAATCCGGCAAACGGTCGTCGGTTTGCCATGGCCAACTAGGCTGCAAGCTAAGCCCTTGCCCAAACACAGCAAGTAGAATACCGTCTTTCGAAAACAAGCCCCGTGCGAATGCAGTGTCCTTCCTTGAATGCCAAACCAAAGGCTACCCTCGCTGAACCAAGTCATGCGCCCCCCCGCTATGTCAGAATCACTCAAATGACCCGCGCTTCGACCGCTCTTCGAAGTCAAGGACCAAGGTGCAGGGCTTTTGGGCAACTTTGGGTTGGTGTGGCCACAGAACCCCTCGAGATCCGACAGCGCGATTGCCTCCACCCTGTCTTTGCGACGGTGCGGACTTCATCAAGGGTCGCTCCCTGCGCAGCGAGAGCCCCTAGTGGGCAACTCCTTACGGTCATCGTCTTGGAAGCAGCCCTTAGCATGGTTGTCTAAGTTTCCTATTGGACTGCAAGACGTGCCAGCGAACATCAAGCAAAAGGATGGTTTGACCATGGCGCATATACAGCAATTCAAATTTATCTTGGACCCAGTAGATGTCTCCTGGTGGCTGCCTCCTAGACTGCCGGCAGCTGAACATGAAACCCAAGCTCAGCCTGTCAATTGTTGTTCAAAAGGGGGATGTACCGTACCCTATTGGTGAACAACCCTCGCATGATGCCAGCCAAAGGCATCACCCTGCGTCATGAATGTCTTGCGTTGCCCACTCACCACGAACCACTCAGAACAGGCATGTTTCCTGGCTTTTCGCGTGGGCGGCATTCCAATTTGGAAGCTGCCCGCGGCCGAGTTCGCACGAATGCGTGCGCGCGAGTCAATGATCAACTAGGGACCCCTCTGAAATGATTGGTTGCAGAGAAAGTTTCAGGTGACTTGCCTGGCAGAAGGGTCCCCAGATTGACACATACCCCACTGGTGGGGACCATGAAGTGGCAAATCCATCGAAACCGATCTCGAAACTGCACTCCTGTTGTGCAGAAACAGAACCAAACGAGGCTTGCCAAAGTGAGACGCTTGCCAAAGCTCAAAGGCCGATCCGCAGGAAGAAGCCCAGCTTTTGCATCCGGTTGTCCTTGCTTTTCAGAATCATCTCTGCAAGGGCGGCAGTGATGCCGACCATGGAGAAAATAAGCATCCTCGGCGCAAAACACATCGGCAAACAATCAAGCAAGCTCAGCCTACCCTCTAAGCACACGAAGCCCTCACCATCCAGCAACTCTCTACTTCTCTCCGTACATTGGGTTCCACAGGCCGCTGAAACCGGTTCCCCGCACAAGAGCCGGCGGGCGAATTCTGGAAGAAACCGGCACTAGATTTTAGGTACCAGCCCACGAAACATGCACCCATGCACCCATGCATCCTAGCACACTCCAAGCCAGGCATCTTGGAAGTGGCAGAGAGGGTCTCTTGCCACGGTGCCAAGAAATCCTCCGGCACGAAGTCCACGTCCTGGTTTTCCCCTATCCTGCTTGAAGCAGCTCGTGGCATTTGTTCGACGCACGGGTGCTGCCCAACATGTTCGACGAAAGGAACACTAAATAATTGTTGCAGCCTGGTGGTATATGAGCTTAAAACGGTAAAATGCGGTGGAAGATTCCAAATTTAGGACATGTAAATAAAACCCCGAATGGCATTTGTGGTGCCGTGGGACGTCAACCCCCCCCCCCCCCCCCAGTTTCCCACTGGCAAGTTCCAGCACCGAACCCTCGTACTCGGATTGATCAACCTGGTCTGGTGAAATATTAAAGGGTTTCGATGGGATGCGACCGGGTGGGTTCTCGCAAAAGTGACGTTCTGACCCCCCCCCCCGGGGCGGTGCCCGAAAACAGAACGAACAACTGAGCGAAACATGTTCTCTACTACGCGAACGGTCTCTGTGCAAGTTCATTCTGCACGTTTCTCTGCCGAATTTCTCTGAGCGAGTGTGTCTGAGCAAGTTCTCTGTGCCCAAATGTTCGGCTCAAGCATTTCTGCTTCCAAGCGCTCCTCGCAAGTTCTGTGCAAGTTGCTTGTTCTTAAGTTCTCGGCTCAAATTTTGCTGCTCAAGTTTGTCTACTCTCGGCGCAAGCTTCTCTGCACAAGTCATCGATGCAATATATCTGGGTGCACGTGCGCTCGGCGGTTGGTCTCGTGCCTCTTGCTATGCAGGGGCTTTCGTGCATCTCTCTCTGCATGTCTTCTCCTGTATCTTGCTGCGCGATCAGGCTAACGACTTTGCCACTAGAACCTTTCGCAATGCTTTCAAAAAAAGGCAGACCGCTTCTTACGATCAAACCAAAGTTAATCCCGTCACATTGCAAAGCATCGGCGATTTAAAGTTGAGTCCAACCAGAACTGGGGCCTGGTTGGAATCTGGCTGGCACTGCGACGGAAAAACAGGGAAGCCCAAAACAGAACCCTCAAAATGGCGAGAAACCCACTGTGGCACATGGTCACGAGCACCGGGCAACCCAAATGAAAACTCGCCAAGCGGCCGTGGCGTGGGCCTGCAAGATGCAGGCGGCAATAAGGGCGGTCCTGGGACCCACGCAAAGGGGCTGCGAAATGGGCGGGCATCTTTCTCCGCCCAAGGTGGCTAGAGAATCGGGAACCATGTGTGGGACTGCTTTTTCAATTCAGGCGTTGAGGGCAAAGAACATTATCTAAGGAAGTGCTCTGCAAAGTCCCTGCCCCCCTTTCATGAAGCAGCTACAGGACATGGCAACTTCAGTTGCGCGCCGCCAAGAAGGACAAACAAATGCACAGTCATTCACTTGCAACCGCTTGCACCAGCCTGGGGAAAGTGAAATACAATCAGCAACGTTACCGCCGTCATCATCATCATCATGGTCATCATGATCATCATCATCATCATCATCATCATCATCATCATCATCATCCTCATCCTCATCCTCATCCTCATCCTCATCATCATCATCATGTCGTCATCGTGATCGTGATCGTGATCGTCATCACCGTCATCACCATCACCATCACCATCACCATCGTCACCATCATCATCATCACCATCAACATCACCATCGTCACCATCATCATCATCATCGTCACCACCATCATCATCATCATCATTATCATCATCATTATCATCATCATCATCATCATCATCATCATCATCATCATCATCATCATCATCATCATTCCCGGAGCTGCCTCCTGACCTCCGAAATTTTGCGAGCGGCACATCATCTCGACAAGTATGGCCCACTTTCCAGTCCGAGCTTCAGCATCATATTGGGTTATCCGCAGTGCGGATATCGGTAGATGAGGCACTAAGTGCAAGTGGGGCCAGCGAGGTGCTGAACTTGAGCCATAGCGGGCGAGAAAACAAAGCGGCACGGCGTGAGGCCTTGGGATCATGGGCAAAAAGCCCTCAGACCATGCAGCACTGGAAAACTAGACAGGGCAATGTGAAGCAAACGTATCATACATTTGCTGCGCTCCAAGTGTTCTTTGTGCACAATGTCCGCAGTACTGCCCAGAGTCGGCATAGCCTACAGAGCCTAGGGCCTATGAGTTGCTCACTTGCCAATGCCCTGAAACGCTACATCGCTGTGTCCATTTGCAGACAAAATCGCATGATAAGAAATCAAACAAACAAACAACCGCTAGTTAAAGCTCCTGAACTCGCCGGGAGAGGTGACACAACGAATCCCAAATGCACAAACACTCAGAGGCAATACCCTAAAGCCTTCTCAGTTTGGTCGGGGTGAACTTTTTGACTCCTCGTTCTGTGTTCGGTAAGGGGTCATCGTAGAAGTGTGGGGGCTCGTTATTTTCCCGAGGCAGTGTCACATGAAATCGCATGGCCCCGATTTGGCCACAGCCATCCCAAAGCCGTCCCGCCTGCAAAACGTACCTGGCCGCCCGGTCGTTCTGCAAATGCCAGCGCTGCAGTAGCTGCAGCCTCAAGCGGTGTCTTTCATGAGGGTTCCCATTTGTGGGCTGCTTATGAGAACAAACTAAACCCAGTGGGCAGGGTCTCTTATTTTAAGACACTCCGCCCAAAAGAATCCCTTCCGACGCTGAGCAAACATGGTTCGCGCAAGCGCACAAACAATGTATCAAACGTACAGTAGGCCGGACAGAAATCAAGCAGAACCTACCCTTCACAGGCGGCCTGAGTTTTGACCAATGGTCATTCTGCCCTCAGCCACTGTGCCAGTCTAAGGGCGTTGCTTCTCGTCCAAGTCGGAAATGGGCGCCAAGTCGCTGAGCTTCCTTTTCCTTAGCTCGACCCCACTTGGATGGTGGCACATCATTGGGCGGAAGAAACCATGAGACAAGGTGATGGAGAGAGTGAACGCTAACTGCGTGACAGCATCCTTTGACTTCAATGGGACCTTTGAATGACTCCAACCACATGGTGTCCTTGGAGCCTCGTCCTTTTCTGGTGCAACAGCCAGGCATCGCGGCCAGCGAATCCAAGGCTCTTGGAGGCGGTCTCAGACTCGTCCGCATCTGCACCAGAGGTCCTGCAGTCACGAGCGCACCATGGGCTTCAAATCTCCGCAGCTCTTTGCCCGAGAATTCTGAAAAACCCCCCACCCCCCAGCCCTTTCTGTCAAGAGGCCCATCTTCTGGAACATCCTCCAGCGCATCCTCTGGCACGTCTTCTTCTGGCGCATCCTCTGGCGCATCTTCTGGCGCATCCTCTGGCACATCCTCCTGTGCATCCTGCAAGCCCGTGGCATCGTGTCATCTATGTGACAGTCCTAGCCCGAGGATCCAAACAAGTTGTTTGGTGGCTCTGGCGGGGTGCGCATGAATATGGGTACATGACCTCACTGTGCAAGAAGGCCCGGACATAGCTACACCCTGAGACCCAACTTGAACGAAGGACCAATCAAGAACGAAACGGCCACGACACCCTGAGCGTCCCGCTCCAAAGGCCATGTTCTAACCGGCAGGGCACACGGCGCTTTGCAAGGAGGGCACCTTCTTGGAGTACATCCCAAGAGTTGTGTCCAGAGTATCGAGACATAGGATACTCTTCTAAAAACTAACCTGGAACCCAACCAGGGACTCCCCCAAAAGCACATTACTCCAAACCAAATGGTTTGTGGAACGCCACATTGACCTGCAGGTGTTGAGCATGGTTTTAGCGGGCATCAGTGCTTTGAAGGGCCCCAGGAACGCCCGCTCATGATCCAAATGGTCAGTTGCTCACGGTTGGAAGTGTCCCTGCCTGTTGAACATGAGTTTTCCAGTGTGTGAAGCCTGGTTTTGGAACCTCGATGCGAGGACGGCATATTCGCGCTGATCCAAGTCAAACAGCAGCCATGCCGGCCAAGGTGCACGTCACGGCTCTGACTTGCAGCAACGAACTAGACTAGTAAAGGACCTCGCACTTGACCAAAGCAAGGGTCCTCCGGCTCTTCCTCCTGCCATTCAGTGTCTTGGTCCTGCTGAGCAACACGGATCGCGTCACAGTTCATCCCTCTGGGACGGCCACGGCTGAGCGCTGGAAGGGCTGAAGAGAACCAATGCAAGTCCAAAGCTGTGACGTTGGCCTAGGTTTGATTGGATCCCGGGCTTCCAGAAGAAGACATTAGCTGAGATACAATCATTTGAGGCAAATCAAGCCCTCGAGCAAGGCCGTGGCTCAGCCAGCTCGCCGCTAGTGACGGCTTCTGCTCAGTTGCTTTGATGTCCATGGCATGGACCCTCTGCCCGAAACGCCTTGCATGCGTGTAGGACGTAAGTTTGTCGCCAGCAGAAAGCGACACGTTGATTGCAAACGATGTGCAAGGCACGTGACGTATCGTGAACCAGCACACTTTTTGCACACGTGGTACTTAGTACTTGCTTAGAATGCACACGCTGAGGCAAACTGCATCCTGGTTGAACTGCCTTCTCCCGTGCTGTCTGTCTTTGGCTGGCCTTATATACTTGGACTGTGCAATCTGGCCTCAGTACATCTTCAAACTTCTGCGCGCACGTTTGCCGGCCCTGCCAAATATCAACTAATCACAGATTCCAAAATAGATTGGAGAGGCCAAACCGTTAGGAATGCACAAACACACGGATGGACAAGGCTTGTTGCCGGGGAAAGGCGTTACGCCTACCTCAACCCTCTGGGCGAACTCCTTCACCCCTAGCCCCAGGAAAGGGGAAAACTAGCCCCACGAAAGGGGACATGCCCCAAGAGACATGGAAACACAAGTCAAATGGTCATGATCCCTGCTCATGGCCGAAAAGTGACGCGCCTCCGGCGCAGGCGATTCCACGTCTTCCTCCTCGGCACAGTCTCCGGCATCGAGTCTGGAGTGTGCAAAGAGGGCCCCCTCACGTTTGCAGAGTTTGGCCACTCAGAGTGGCCTACTGGTCGCCATTGAATGCCCTTCCGAAAGCCAATCCTGCCAAAGTCTGTCAACGGCAAGATTCTAAACTCAGTTGCCCAAACAACCCGGAAGAAAGGCTAACCCTTTTGGGGGCCCATACAGCCAAGGCTCAGCAACGCTGGGCGCCTGGGCCGGAAAAGTTTCTTCGGAGTATGGATGGACCGGCTGATGACTTAGCAACCTAGACCTCCAGTGCCGGGGAAACCAGGGCGAAGCTGGAGGTCTGCGAGTAAACACTTGGGACCATGATCTGCACAGGCCCCTGGCGGTTCACATGGCTTTTGCCCATTATTCTGAAAAGCAACCCACTGGGTCACTGGGCTATCAGCCACCAGCTGGGCGCAATGGCAAAGTGCGGATCATATTCCTTCTGGGCGATCCCGCCCAAGCAAAGGTGGGCTGTTGCGCGTGCGTGTCAGTGTGGGTGCAAAAGTGGCCAAGCTGCGGTGGATTCCTGACTTGCAGGCAAGGAGAGCCCTAAACAATTGCCACGGCTTGTGGTGAAAAATTGCAAAACATTATTCAAGACCATGTTCCAGAACTCCTGGTAGCTCCTTAGCTCCCTCCTTCAAGGCAAATTTAGATTTCTCCAGGCGCCCTTGGCTCCTTGGCTCCCTTCCAACCAGCCAGAAAGTTTAACTATGTTTAACTTTTTGGGGGTTTGGTGAGTCACGTACGGGAATCCCAGATTGCTGAACAAGGCAATCCCTAGGTTCCCCCATTCCCCAGATTCCCTCGTTCCCAGTCAAGAAATCCGGCTGAGCTTCTTCCCCCTCTGCCTCGGCGAACTGCACCAAGGGCTTGTACACCGACCCCGGCCGCGGGGCGGCCCGCGCGGGCTTCACGGGCTCCGAGTGCGCCGGCGCCCGCGGCTTCGATTGCGCCGGGCTCCGCAAAGGGAGCTTGGCCGCCTAAACGCTGCGGGCGAGGCCAAGCGCTTTTGCACCTGTGATAAGAAGACCTCACAAAAAAAATCCCTTCAAGAGGAAGTTGATCTTCCAGGCGCTCTCCCACAGGTGCCTTCTGCTAGTGGGAGGGAGGGTAAAGTTTGACCCATTCTGTTGCTCTTTGCTTTTTTGGAAGGCGACTGTTGGGCCTGTTTAGCTTGGAGCCGCTGGGCCCAAATATCAAAGCACTGCCGTCTTTGTGGGACGCTCAGCCGGAGATGCTCACACAGGCAGGGATCCTCTCGACAAACAGGTCAATTCGGCTTCCCAGCTTGGAGATCCCGGCCTGGCCCGGCTTGACAGGCCGGTAGACCACCTGGGCGAGCACCATCTGATAGTCTGATAGTGGAGTTTTAAGATGGCATCTCTTACCAGGCAACTTGACGCGCAAATGCCTTGCTGTTGAGGCGCCATACCACCGCCCGCTGCATTGGCACCATGCGCTTGAGCCACCCCTTCCATATCCCAAAACGGTTTTTGGAATCGGGGCGAAGGTTTGGCAGAAACTGCGCTTCACTGGCATCTTGGCCCACCGAGGACATGGCAAGCCCGGGAGTCGCCTAGAGGAAAGAACCTCTCATGCAATACAAAATGCGTCTTGAAAGCCCGAGGGAGTAAGGTGAAGGATTTTTCTTCAGCGACGAAGGTGACTGCCACCCTTCAAAGCCCTTGCATGCTTTGCCCTCCAGAAGTATGCACCCGCACGCTCGCCGCAGCCTGCACAGTTTCAACATCTGCTGTGTCGCCCTCTTTCCTCCACCTGAGCATCAAGCATGTCCAGTTCCTGCCATCGCATCACTCGGGCGAATCAAAATATGGGTTTGTCTCACAATAGGGGAACCCGCAAAACGGGTGATTTCCTTTTGGTGCTCCTTCAAGCCAGACCCCAAAAGTGGTACCGCCAAAAAAAGACACCCCTAACTAGTGCTATGCGTAGCTTGGCGCCCTAACATCTCCAAGCAACGTGTTGCTGGCGCTGGGTCACTGGGTGCGGGGCTCCTTGGCCAGGGCCGAAACCACATACCTTTGCATCCGAAGCGTCCGAAGCAAAAAAACTCACCACCAACCCACCCCGCTTTTTCCTCCCCGAGAGAGGCCGGCGAATGCTTGTTACTGTTACAGGAAAAGGGCCTATTGCCCTTTAGCCCCCGAAGGCGCAACCAGTCCCCTTCCGAAGCAAATCTTCTTTAAGCAGGGCGCGGGATCCGCATGGCCACCCGTCCGGTCATGTCCAGGACTTCCGGTGTCGGCCTCGGTGTATCTCTACATCACCCTGAAAACCCTCAGGCAAGGATACAAAGGCATTTTTTTAACATAGATTGAGGCCAAAGGAACAACCCAACGCAGACTCACCAGAACAACAGACTTGGCAACCACAGCTTGAAGGCCAGAAACTGGGAACTCAGACCCTGGACAACTGAGCAAACGTGAAGAAAATAACGATGCATCGACTGCCATGAGCTTGCAAGCAACAAACTACACATCTGCCAGTCGCCTGCCTCCAAAGGTCGGCGCTGGACACTTTTGCCCTTGACGTGCAAACTCTGGCTTGCCTTCCTACAAACCAGGCGGGGGAGCAATTTCTTGGCCCCCATCCAAGACGATCCCCTTCTGGAGGCGGTCCAAACCAGTATGGCTCAGCAATGATTGACTCGTGTGACCAAACCTTGCTTTCCCAACATGAAACATACATCAAGGTTCTTGAATGCAATGTGTGGGCTCTTCCGCGTAGCCATGCTCCAACTTGCCTCCACGCTCCAACATGTGATGTCAAACACAGAACCCCCCCTTTGGGCACTTTCCGGGACTCTGGTGTCATTCTTGCTGCTCTTCAATCGGGTCTCCAGGGTTCGAACTTCCAGGATCCTTGTGGGGGCATCGAGCACAGAGACCTCCCAGCCAGGGCGGCAGCTCATCAGCCAAGTACACCTGGAGAAACATGGGCTCCCAACGCGCACGGGCAGTCTCCCACAAAGGCCCTATGCACATTGGTGGAGGGAACCTGTTGAACATGTGCTTTTGCCTGAGGAAGGGGGGGGGGACCTTGGGAAGGGGGAGAAATGCGGGCGGGGGTGGGGGGGCACTCTTGAAGTGCAGAACCGGTTTCAAGGTCATATTTTGGCGTGCAAAAAGGTGAACATGTCACCCATTTGTCAGCTTCCTTTGGAGGAGAGATGGCCAGCTCCAATGAAGCCCCGACAGACCTCTATGCCTGCTGACGTTGCTTGGCCCACTTTGTGCTTGATTGTTTACTTAGTCATTGATTTATGTTTCTCTTGCTGTCTCTCTTGTTGTCTGGCTTGCTAAACTCTGGGCTCCCGTTTTCAAACAACATGTCCGGCAAAGTCTCTTGAGCCATTCCCTTTACCACCCGCCAGGCCTGCAGGGAGACGACGCGAGGCATGGCGACTCGAATTTCCTCAGCGCGCAATCCGGATGGAAACCCAAGCATCAGCTGCTCGATTCATGGGGGGGATGTATCAAAGCCCGGGACCCCACCATGAATTCATCTGGATTCATGGAAAAATCAAAACCCGGGACCCCAACATGAATTCATCTGGAGAGAGGTCCCTACCGATCGTGACACATGCACGCACAAGGCTGAGATCGCACGGACATGAAGAACACCCACTGAGTGATCCAAAGCTCCACCACCGGAGGCCCTGAAACTAGCGCTGAAGACCTTGTCATGGGCTTTTGCTTTTCCCAAAGCCATTTGACAGCCATTGAAATGGGCACGTACCTAGCGCAGGATGAACAGCCGGGCCAGTGGTGCCGGTGACCGTCCCTGCCCCAAGGGCCCGGCTTCCATTGCAGGCGAAAGTTCGGGCACTATGGGCACTCTCAACGCCAGGCTGGGCACGGTCACGTTGCTGGAAGAATGGGTCTAGCTCGTCTTGATAGACTGTTCTGGGCTCACGTATTTGGTTTTGTGTCTCTGTGCCCCCATCAGATGAAGGACGGCTCTAACCAATTAGACTAAACTATACTATTCCTCTCTTGAAATTATTTCTTGTCTTGGCAAGCGACGCAGAGTACGTATCAGGCCGTGCTGCCTTGCACAACTCTTGAGCCTGCGCTGCAATTAGCCCTGTCTATCCTGTCTGACCCTCCGCGCCCTGGCGGTTGAGGCGAATGCCAAAATTTGGCCATGGTTCACGTGGGTATGGGTCAAAATAAAACCATCAGGGTACCGCATGTTTTAGTCTTTGGTTCCGGATGTACCCCATTTTGGGTACGCATGTTTGACCCACAGCCGCGTTTTTTTGTTTTAAAGCCCTCCCGACCTTCAGGCAGACATCCGAGCAAACTGGCAGTGGGCAGCCGCTTGCAACCCATCTCCTTGCTGGAGATGCTTGTCGTCGCCTCTTCTCCCTCCTTGCGCCACCTGAATAGGTGGCCCCATGCACGCCCCAAAAAAAGCAACGCTGGTGCGATTTTGGGGGACTTTGCCGGAACCTTTGGACTCCTTCTGGGGGTTGATTCCCCATTAGTTTCAACCAGCGTTCTTTTCAAAAACCAGCTGTTTTCCCAGGGTTCTTGGTGGTTTTTCTAGATAGAAGGATCCCTGGAAAGAATGGGGAAGCTATCCTGAGACGCTTGCAGCACCTCTGACCCAACTTGGCAAGCTCAGGGCCCCGCTCCGCGTCAGACATGGCCATGGCCTGCATTCCGGCACCAAGGGAAGTCAAATCATCCGGGAGTCCAAGCGCCACAGGCGCCGTCACCCAAAACGCACATGCCAGTCGTGCCAAGTTCAAGTCTGTGCATCCCGCCCCGCTCCTCTCCCTCATCCCCCCCTCCCTACTTTCTTTGAGGGTATGTGCACAATGGCACGCCTTGGCGACCGTATGCGACCATGGCCTTGTCCAACCAGGTCTCCACCAAAACGGCCCAGTCTTCTTCCTGCTGCTTTGCAGCCAAAGCCTCTGGTGCCTGTCGCCGGGTGGCTTTAAGATGCCATGCGGGAGCCATTCAATACATCCACCAAGCCAACTCAAACTCATGCCGCGCTTGCCGCGACAAGTTTGCTTGCTCCCAGCCTCGGACTCCATCATGCTCAGGCACAGCAAGAATGCCTGGGCTTGCCGGGCTCGGGGGGGTATGCTTCTGCAGCTCAATGGTCGAAACTCCACCAGGCTATTCGGCTCGGTGTGGACTTCAGCGCCATCCGTCGCAATCAGGCACTGAAACCCAGGGCCACGGCCGTGGCCACCAGCAGGCAGGCCATGCAAAGCACCAGGAGGCTGCCATAGGGCCTCCATGCTCATAGAATTCTACGAAAAAAAAAAAAAAAAAGCCATCGCCGGAAAGCGGCGACACGCGACTTGATCGACTTGCGACTTCCTAGATGTAAGTGGGTGCAGGATGGTTGATTGTGCATCTCTTTTGGGGGGCTGTTGGATTGTCAAGCCATTGCTTTGCTCGGTGCCAGGTCCCTGCAAAATCCGGGGGTTTTGTGCAAAGTGGTGGGGGCCCCTGGGCCCATGCGACTCAGGGACCTCCAGTTGCGAACCCGAAAAAAGCACGCCAACGGAGCGACTCCACAGGGCCTCACCGGCAGCAAGAGCTGGGGAGCCAATGCAAACACCTGGCTCCACACAAGGTCCAAAAAGCCGCCCGGTGACGAAGGAACCCACTCAAACAAAACACAAACCACACCCGAATCGGGCGGTTTGGGGTGCCCGAAGTTGGAGAGACCTTTCATAGTTAATCAGGGGCATGCCAGGCGAAACATCTGGCAAAGACAGCCTGTTCCGCATCTGTATGCCCTCAGCATCGCTCAGATTGGTCCCGTCTAAATAGGTTTCCTGAGGGTGGGAGTCATTTTGCGCGGTTCATGGCACTTAAAAATGCCTTTCCAAGATCCAGTGGTACCCTTCGGCAAAATCAATTGATGTATGTCTTACCTGGCGCAGGAACGGGTCTGACCCAACGCGCGGCTTCTGCGGCTTCTACTGGGCCATCCTGATCATCATAGCCGTAGCCGCGATTTGCCCTGTGCACGAGATGCAGTTTGCAGCCGGCCCTGTGGCCAACAGGTCCTAGACTAGTTTGTTGCACTCACATCGCTTCGCGCTTAAGGGGCCCATGCACTTTTCTCCACCTGACCGGGGCTTCGAGCCTCTCGCCCGGATCTCTTGTGGCCGCTTTCTGGGCCCTCAATCAGCAGGAGGTGTTCAACAGGAGGTTCTCAACTGAGGTCTTCAACTATACATGCCAGTGTCCTTGCTTTGTTCAGCAAAACGTGTCATGAAACAGGCACATCTGAAGTACCATCTCGTAACAGACGCCTTCTTTCACTTGTTGAAGCATCGGAGGTTTCACCTCCCGAGACCTCCCGGGACCGGCAAGACCAAGACCTCAGGCGATCAGTGAGTTCCAGCGGGCCGGGCCACGATCGCCAGGTTCATGTTCGAGATCTCGGGGTCTATGAAGTCCTCAGCCACCTCTCAGCTCACACTATTCCAATTGATATAAGAAAAACATGAGGAAACATATATAGAATGGAAGCTCTAGGTCCTCCAGTGAGGTTTGAATAAGGCTACCCGTTTTCTCTCTTTTCTTCTTTCTGTAGTCTATAGTTAGTAGGGAAACCCTCCCAACCCAAAAAGGGGGGAGAAAGGGCACTACTGGGGGACGTAGTTGCAATTGAACATAGAGGAAACATGAATGGAATCTCCCCACATCCACCCGCGGTTTTCGCGATTTTTTTGGGGTTGCATGACTTTCCTTGCCTAGGAGCTGGAAAGACAACGGAAATACACCAAGAGATCAACTCGCAAGTACAAATCAGGGAAACAATTACAACACCTGGCCGTCGCTTGGTTTCCCAAGAAGTTAAGGTCTAAAGCTCCAACCCAATAGCAATCAGGACCAAGAGAATCAAACCGCAAGGGAAAACAACAAATGACCAAGTGAAATACAACACAATACAAACAAACAAACAAACAAACAAACAAACAAGCAAACAAAGAAATAAACACACAAACAAACAATACCCCAAACAAAACCCAAACAAACAAAACCCAAACAAACAAACAAACAAACAAACAAACAAACAAACAAACAAACAAACAACAAAGGCAACCACGCCTCAAAGCCGGCCGCAGCAAGGCGCTGCGTGCGCGCCCGATGGATAGCCATCCGCCCCAAACGATTCACAGCGCCGCCCTCCAGCCACGGCCAACGCTTCCTTGAGCGAGCGCTTGGGCTACCCCTCCCAAGACGGCACCAGATGGCTGTGAGTCAAAAATAGGTACCCGAAATGCAACCCTGGTAAGAGGAAACATGGGCTAAAGTCTGCGGTGCCCTGGTGGTTTAATTTTGACCCACAGCCATATGGCACCCTTGCAGGGCAAATCGCTCTTCCCACAGTTGCCATGCTAGTGGGGGGAAGTGTGTTTTCAACAAAATGCAGCTGGTCTGCAGGGTTGGCTAGCAATTCTCCTCGCTTCCCTGGTGGGGTTCATGTTTGGCTGATAGAGTTCTCTGAGAGAGTGGGCTTGCACAAAAGGAAAACTGCAAACGCTCAATTTCGGAGTTACTGTTTGCTGCATCCCACAAACTGAAGACCTCTTTGTTGACACAAGCCACAGCGCCCAGGCCCGCCCGGTCAGGCGCTATCAAAAAACTACCTGACATTTCCGCATGTGCAAGCGCCATAGAAACTCGCAGGCCAGAGTCATGTTGCTCAGGTCGTAGATCGCAGAGGGAACATGGAAGTCTGCATGCGCCATGCGCTGGCGACCATGAAAGACTTGCTTCCATTTGGCGCTGGGTAGACGATGTGAGAAATGGCCAGGAACAATATATACTGCGTGCTCATTCTTGGCTGCCGCTCGGCGTGGCAGCCTGGTCTGAAGGGGCTCAAAGGGCTCATAGCATCAGTTGATGCGAGTAAGTCCAACCAGGACCAACCGCAGGACTTTGCCAGCTTCCGAGCGCGAGGCGATTGCAAAGACTAGGAACGTGCGACGAGGGGTTTGAGAATTCTGACATAAGCACGCAGCTGTCGCAATGGGAACCAGCTGTTTACGCCGCGCTGGGCCTGATCTTGGCTAGGGGCCTACTTTGTGCACGCTTGATTTTGGCAATATGGTCGGATTGACAGTGGTTGCCGCTGAGGGCAACCGAGCTGGTTGCACCAAGTTAAGCCCGTGACAGAAGCATAATATCCCTCCGCAGGATGTCAAACCACAACGTGTCTGCATTTCGACCGCTGGGTAGGGAATTCCCAAAGTGAGGGCTTTTTGAGCTGCACGGACTTGCCGCCAAAGTAGGACCAATGCCCCTGAAAGGCTTTCGAGGGAAGAAAGCCTTTGAAGCCATGAGCCGAACCATGCGGAGGCACCCGCTTCGGACGTAGAAGGGAATAAACAAACTTTCGTCAGGATCTACTCGTGGCTGGTGGCTCTTCCAGAAACGGTACTCCACCGCAAAGGCTCCGGCACCGGCTGACCCCATTGTGTTTGATAGACCGAGTCGGAACAGAATTCCTGAAACAGTGGACACACACACACACAAACGTGGCCTGAGCAAATTTTGGGCGTGCCTACCCCTTCTAGTTCGCCGAGCGGGCGAACGACTGGGCGTTTGAGTCGGCCAAGCTTCCAGGACCACTTCGGCAGCCAGGGGCGCTCCGGAAGGGCAGGCACCTTCTCATAGCAACAGGGCAGCAGCACCACAGGAGATCGGCTCTCAATGGCGCAGAAAAGGACCTCATCAGACAGGAAGCTGCAGGCGTGACAGGCGGTGACGAGCTCGCTGTTAGCAGCCTGCAGGTTGCCATACCGGATGTCCTCTTCCTGGCAGTGGCCCAGAGAGTTGTTAAAGTTGGAAGCCGACAAGTCTTGAACCATGCAGAAAAAAACCGCAATAGGGCAAATGCCTGTGACATACAGCGGACAGCTCCATTCGCGCGTAAGCAAAGGCGACCAACTGGCCCCCGTCCTCCCACGAGACCTGCGACAAATGCGGCCAATGTCTGGCCAGAGTTGCCTGCAAGCGCCGCGCAATGGCGGGCCTCACCATGTCAAGAGGATCGGGGCCTGAGGCCTCGAAATATGCCTAATGGACCTGCAATGCGAATCCCCTTCCAAGGGCTCCATGTCCCTCTGAGATCAACCGACTGATGGATAAGTCGACTGAACCTCCGGGACCGTGACTGCCATGACTGACTACATGCCGAATCACTGATTCGGAACCTGACGGGACATTGACGGGCATTCTGCACACTGCACTCCGACAAAACCTCAGCCCACGCTGATTTGAAGGTGCATCATCCCTGATGAGAGCCATACCACCGTTTGTGGCGATTTTAAGCCACTGGGCCCTTAGACACAATTGGCTGTGGAGCAAACTAGGGGCCGCTTAACTGATTGTACGAAAAGGGAGATCGACATGAAAACAAGCGCCAACTATTCTTGCTCCCCATCACAAAGCTGCACTGGGACCCCGCCCCCCACGCCACGGACCATAAGCCTAAATCAAGTCAGCATCAAGCTCAAATCAGGGGATGAGTCATCAATGTTGAGAGTATCTATTCCCTTTTCGGCCCACGAATATCTTGTTACAGGATGTCACAGGGGTACCCAGGTAGGAACATGCCAAGCACTAACTCAGCTGACATCGTTTGACCGACCAAACCACCCATGAGACGTAATCAAAACCCGGTACAAAAATGGTCGACCCAGAACCATGCAAATAATTAAAGAAGGCGGCTGCAGCTATTTGTGGTTGGGATTGTCCCTTACCAACCTTCATCTACCCGGGTTTTGATTGTGGCTCAAATGAGACTGTCGGGGCCCGAGGTGCTGCTTCTTGTCCGAGCACCGCACCTTTCGACCCGGCTTCAGCAGCGCCAGGAACAGGCCCAGCAGCCCGCACCCCGCGCAGAAATCCACCACCTACGGCAAGGAGAGGCGTGACCATGCGTGACGCTTGTCCATTGAAAGTGACGTAGGAGTAGCAAATTGAAGAAGCGGATCTTCGTGCTTTTCGCTTTTGTTCCAAGATAAATCCAGTGACATGAACATGATTGGACAACCACTTGCTTTTGCTCCATCAACGCACATCCCAACGCTATTTGGGCGGAGGGATCCAGGGGCCGTAGATAATCGAGGCGACCTTCTCGCCCAGTGACCAATTCAGAATGAGAACAGCCTAAACTCGACGCATGCCATGTTGAAAGTGATGTCGCAAGAAAAACACGAACTGCATGGCTAGAAACATATGATCTTCAACCCAACAAGGTGATATGAGGTGTGGACGAACGATTCAGTAGTCTATGGCGTGTTGGGGGGACATGGGGGAACTCACTAACCCCTCTCCCCCTTTGCCCCCAGAAAACAAAAAATCGCCCTCTTGGTTGCACAAGTATGTTCACCACTGGCTGATATTTCCAAGAACCCTACAAGAAATTCCCAAAAGAGCAAAGGCCCATTGACCTAAAGGATCCTTCGCGAATACTTCCAACCAGGTCCAGTTTAAAGAGGAAACCCCCAGAGCCTTAAAAAATCCCAAACAGCGGAAGATAGGGAACTCGCGAGTCATGTCACTCCGACTCCTGCATCAACACGGCATTCGACCCGGATTGAGTTCACCTGGCCATTCGTACCATCGTTGACGAGTGGAATATGTGAAAAACTCCCATGACCGGAACCTGGACATATCCGGAACTGGCCGCATGAATATGAGGGTTTTAATTGAGCTCCCTGCCCAAGAATCATTGCAGCGCACGAGCGGGGGGTTGGCGGAAAGGTCTTGGTTGCGACCCGTGGGAGGAAACATGCTACAGCGAACCATAACATGAGTTCACAAGAACCCAGAATGGCGCAGCTTTGTTGCCGTTGACCCCTCTGCAAAAAGTTTAGTGGAAAAGCCCTTGATTTCCCACCTTGCAACCTGAGAGCTTTTATCAACGCCCGGTATTAAAAAGTGGCCGTAATCCCACCATGTAACAGGGATCCGGATGCATTATACACCTGAACATTGCAACTTGTCAATGGTGGTTTCCAACTTTATTTTCGTGTTGAAGAAGCAACATGGTTCAAATGGTTGCAACATGTATCTTTTAAGGAGCCCTGTGTAAAGAATTCAGGCGGATCTCCGAAAAGCGATTTATGGCAAGAGAGGATTGTCCCTTCGGGTGTTGAGCAAGTGGATCTCAGTCCTGAGCTCATGATTAGTGTGGCTCAGCAGCTGTAGAATGTATATCTTATTGTTTGCTTATGGGTCAATATTAACCCAAGAAACCACAGGTCTTATTCCATGTTTCCACTTACCAGGCTTCAATTTTGGGTACCTATTTTTGACCCACAGCCAAATTTTATTGTTTGCCGCACTTTGAGCAGGTATATGTAAAATGTATCCTAAGCCTACCCCAAATAAACAAAAGTCCTCAGCTGCCTCGCGTTGCTCCGGGAAGTGGCGCTCCACCAACTCCGCCACCGCGAAAGCCTCGAAGAGCTCCTTCCGCGGCACGCGGCCCGGCAGCTCCGCGCTGATGACCCCACCCACCTCCGAAACCCGAGGCGGAGCAAGCAGCAACGAATAAAGTGGCCGATTTGCTTAAGCCTCCTGGGACAAACAACAACCAAAAACATATTCCCGGTAGTGATAAACGATTCCGTCTAAAAACATGACAAAGGGAAAATACAAGATATGCTTTAAGAAAATGGAAGGTCAGGATTCAGGACCCGCTATGTTCAGGCCTCATGGAAAGTGAGGGTGAAGTAGATGTCAGTCTATCTGTTGTTTCTTGCAACAACCCTGCTGTTAAGGCCGCTTTGAAGGTGGTGTGAGGTCATGCTAATTGGGATGTTTAAGTCAAAGGCTTCCACTACTAGTATGTTCCCGATTACCTCACGAGTTGTTGCCAAACAAGTAATTGTTGCTAGTCATCACCTTGATGTGAAAACACAGCCTGGGGCATGCTTCGAAAAACTGAACCACTTGCTCCAGAGTTTGGGTCCTGAGGTTCCAATGAGGGACTTTGGGTCGATTACCGGGGCGGTGCCCAACCCTGGGCGGGGGGAGGGGAGTTTGGATCACTCTTGGGGAGAACCGCCCGTCGTTTAACAGGCTTGCTGCTCGCCCGTCCGAGCTCCACATTGTTGTGGATTTGTGGACTACTGGGACCTACCAAAGCTCAGATGGGAAAGCAAAGCTAGACCCGTGTTGAGTGCCCTGCTTTGTGAAGGGAAGGTGCCTGGGGCTGTCAGATATTAGAGAGTCCCTCCAGCTTTTGGCAAGCTTGCTTGAGTTCCCCCAGGCGACTGACCATAGGCTACTGTTTTTTTTGACCGAACCTCGCACACAAAACCCGCTCCAAAGGTGTATTGGGATTTTGGGTGCTCTTGCTCGTAACATTGCTGGATGGGAAGTCTGACTCCCTCGGGTGTAGACCTGTCTGGCCCCAGGAAGAAAGCTGACTGCTAGTTGGCAGTATCCCGAGTTGCTCGAGAGCTGCAAGAGAAGGCCCTTTCTTTCTGAAACCGAGTTGGCTTGGATACAGGGGAAGCGGGGATGTGCGAGGACTAAATTCTACCTGAAAAAGTATTGTCCCACATCTCTGCTTCCTCCTGCATCCCTGCTTCTTCGCTTGTCATTTTTTCTGCCCTCCCTGGTAGAGACTTGGTAGCGACGAGAAAACACACAAGCAACTCACGGGAGACCCCCCCCCCTCGGAAGGATAATTCGTGTTTAAAGCCACAGGCCGCCTGGCACAGCAGGTCGCCGCAGTCCCCAGACGCCCTGGACCTCTCGAAGCACGCGGCGTCGCCCTTGGACAGGCAGTTCTTCGACCCCTGCCGCTCGCCCAGCGCTCGGGGGTGGTGGTGGTGGACGTTCGGGGCGACCGTCCCCAAGTGGAGCCAAAAGGAACTGGGGTTTAAGGAACAAAGTAATGCTACCTGCAGATTTGTTTTTGGGCTCTGCCTGTCTTCACACTGCGAAGATCAAAGCCACAGCCAAACCGTCTAGAAAAGGCTCCGCAAAAGCACCTTTCCCCGGCAGGTCAACGCAAACGGCTCTCTGCAGCCTTCAGCAACCAAAGCCTTTTCCGGTTCCACACGCGTCCACAAAGAAATCGCGCCTTGCGCCACATGGAGACCGGCAGCTCATGGCGCGCCAGCGGCTGCGCACCGGCGACAGCGCGGAGGATCATGCCCAAGACCAGGGCCAAAAGGGCCATGGCTCACGACACACATCGAACCTGCTGAGGTTTTTGTGGTGATCTTGACATTGGCTGGGGGCCCATGCCGATATGTGCGCGTGCATGTGTCAGTGTATGTGCTTGCGAGCGTGTGCCGGTGCGCGCACTGGCAGACCGACGAGTAGCCATGCGTGGGTTCGTGGTTGAGTGGGTGCCGCGGGTGTTTGGGTGTGTGTGGAGGGGCATGGGGTCTAGTATTGTGGATGACGTGTGGCTGGGTAGTTGTTGTGGGTGTGAGGCTTGCTTGTGTGGCTGACGCCTCCGCTGTCTCTTGGGCTCTCCAGTCCATCCTCGTAGACTCAGCTCCTTTTTGGTCGCGCGCGAGTTTGGCAAGAGTGTGACTCCGCATTTCGGCCGTCGCAACTGGTGGCCCAAGGTTGTCAAGCCACTTGGGAAGCAAACAGCTAGGCTCATGAGCTTCATGGCCTCATACGAGACACATGTGCATTGTGTTGAGCTCTTGGCCCCTTCAGTTCTTCAACCTTGGCCACCCCGCCGTGGCTCCTTCAGCCCCAAACCCCGAAGTCGGCTCTTTGGGCTCCCTCGCCCCTGTCCAAGAGCCTGGGCAGAGTTGCACATCGAAACAAAAGGGACGCTCTGGCCAACTTGCCAGTCTGTGCCACGTTCACTTCATAGAAACACGTAGTGCAGCCGTTTGCTTGTGCCACCGCATGGTGGGTTTGTCTTTGATTCCACAAGCTGATCGACCTTCCGGTGCTTCCATTCCTTCCAGTGGCACGTCCCATGGTGAAATGCCGAAGTCAGGCGGTCCGTCGGGGCATGCAGGGGATCTCCGGAAGCGCCGTCAGAGCCCTGCACTTGTGAACCAAATCTCTGGTATTAGCTCAGCTTTAACGGCGCTTCTTGGCCCGGTATCACACTAGGGGCGTGGACGCGGGAATTTAAACGGGGGATGATGAGGTGAGCAGTTCGGAGTCTGGTTCGATCAGTAAAGGATCCTGGGATCAAGCCTTCCACTTGCTGGCCATTCCCCTGAGAGCCTGCAAGTGCTCTTTTCGAGTTCCACCAGGATCACAAAAGCCTCAAAGCTGCAAGTTGTCTTTTGAGCGTGGCTGCTGGATAATGATTACTAGACCCAACGGTGATGCCTGGAAGAATTGCAGGTGCTGAGTGTGAGAAGATTCTCTTCCGCAGAACGCGGGCAGATCTGATAACTTCTGCCACATCACCCACGGCACAAAGCTGGAATGCGGATCTGACACGAAAGGAAGCAACCGCATGTTGTCGGCGGCGGGAGTCCCCTTCAACTGATGATGATTTCATCTCTGGAACCCACTTGAATGCACGTCAACTGCCAGGTCTGGTCTTGGGGTGGCAAGCTTCCAGCTAATGTTGACCCAGGATGAATAAACCCGTCCCATTAGCGGGGTGTTCCCTCCAAAAGTGGTCTGAATCCCCACTAAAAAGGGGCACCCCCCGATGAAAATCAACCAGGGGTTCTGCTTAATCCGGGGTTAACACTACTAAACAATGGAAACCACGTGGAGAAGGTGATGTGGACCAAAGCTGCCACCTGTGCAGCCCGCGAGCTTCGCAGGCTGCAGCCAACCGGAGTCCGCGGCGTTGGGGCTGAAGCAGAAAGCGACACTCGGCTTGTTGGGCCAAGTGACGTTCAACGCTTAGGCCAAGTCCGAGTTATTATTACATCTATGTCAGCAAGGAACGTGAAACAAATCACAAAGGAAAACACTCACAGCATCGCAACTTGTACCCATGCAACTTGCCCAACCAAAAGCAATCACACGCGAGCTCCGGTAAAAGCCGTCAACGGCAATGCCGAGAAGACGGGCAAAGTGCGCATAACGCCCTGCATAGCATTCGATAGCAAAGCAGAAGCCTGAAGCATGCCACCTCAAAACGATTTTAACAACACTTGATTAGAAAGCCTACGTACACAAAGCGGCAACTTGTTTAGTCACCACTTTGCATACTTGTATGTTCCAGAAGCTTGCCCTTTGCTGGAGCTCGCCTTGAAGTGCCCTGGCCTTCGCTTTGCCGTCTCTTGCTCGCCATGGCAGCTGAAAAGATCAGCACTCGGATTCTAATTGGCGCCGTGCAGCATCCACTGGACCTCAGCGAAGGGAGCAATGGGAGCACCTTTTGGCCGGAACCCCATCCCGGCAAGTCCACTGCCCCATGGTGCAAGCGGAAGCGCATCTGCCCACAGTTCCACCCTGACTCGTCCTTCAAGTGGCCAAACATCCTTGGTCTACAGTCCACATCGGAGAGCGGACAAGCCTCCCTCCACAGGAAATCCTAGGAAATCCAGCCAGCTTCCCTTGCCAGGTGGCATCCCTTAACAGTGGCCGCCAAGCTCACAAAGTCGTTGTGGCCTAAAGCCTTCTGGATGGATCCACCTGGCGAGGCGACTCAGCTCGCCAGAAAGTAAATTGACCGGCTTGACATCGACCCTTGTCTGATGGCTTTCAATCCAATGTAGCGTTGCAGACTGCTTTTCAACCAGCTTGATGTTCTGAAAGGTGAAGATGGTGAATTGACAAGCGCCCGCTCAAAAGTAGCTCTTCTCCCGAGTTTCAAAAAACAGTTGCGGAGAGGCAAGAGTTTCTCCACGGAAACAACTGACGCAAAGCACGGCCGTGAAGGCTGGCCAGGCTTGCCATCCCACAAGCCTTGCCATGCCCTACATCGACTTGCACACATACACAACATCAAATATTCTATCCCTTTTAAGGAGCATCAACAGCAGACTTTAGTGACCTTTCGTGCCCCCTCCGCCGCCGAAGGGCCGAAGGGCCAAACCTACATGGAAACTCATGGCAGGCTTGCCATATGCGGGTTGCGGGGGGAAAAAGGCCCAAGACCCAGGGAACAACCAAGAAAAGGCCCAGTTTACGACCTTCAAACAACGTGTGCATGGGAAGCGCTGTGATGGCACATCTGGACATTCCCTGGCTTGGTTGCCCAGACTAACGATTGCCGGACGTATCATCCAAGCCCCGGGGAGTGGCGCAACACATTGGCCACGACTCCCGGACCCAGCAAACCTCCTCTCCCATCGCCTGCCTCCTCTCGACTTCAATTTTCTAAGGCAGCCCAGCCTGAGCTCCGCCAGAGAAAAGCCGCAGACACAGAAAACCTTCAGTGCTGTGATTTTTTCCACACCTCCCAGCCACCGGCGGCTTAAAACCTTCAATCATTCATCCTGACCAAGGCCACATGATGATCCAAGACCGTGTGCCCGACTCATGGCCCACACGAACGGACAAGTTTCTCACGGCCCATCCACACACTGAACCCATTGCACTTTTGGGCTCCACATCCTGCGCAAAAAAAAAAAACGGCTGCCCTTCTCATTTGCTTCGACCGTGGCGAAATCCATGGGGAGGAATAAAGCGGGCAAATACTTTGCCGAACCTGGCAGGCAGTACCTGGAACGCAATTGAACACATGTCCATGTTTCTCCGGAATATGTCCCACTTGGGGGGGGGATGGGGGGGTGGTTGCTGTGTGTTGCTTTGGGCCTTTTGGAGGGAAGCACCTGGAAATCCATCTGGAAATCCTTTGAGTGGTTCAGGTTCCATACGGAGACGAGACAAACCCATGTCCGAGAGGCAGAAGCTTCCAGCAAAGGTTCTTCTGCGAGGCGGTGTGCTGCAGCGGCTGCAGCCTTCGCACATCGATCCGGCCCGCTGAGAGAATGTTGGCCAAGGATTTCTGCAACCTCTGATTGATTCACAGGCGCGTTTTATGGAGGCCAGGGGAAATTGTCTTCCCGTTTTTTTTTTTTAGAAATCGATATAACCCATCAGGTGTAATGATCCGGGGTCAACAACAAGTAGTTTGTGCACATGCACATGCTCGGGCTCGCACGACTTCAACACCACAGTCACTGGGCTCAATGAATCCAGTTGGTACAGCTTCGCCAGGAGCGAGTGGAAAAACACGTCGCACTGCCTGGGCAAAACGGCAAGGCATCCTACATGTGATGCGTGCTGCCGGACTCAGGTGTGTTGCACCTTGACCTCTCAACTTCCGCTCAAGCGTTTCAACACGTCAGGTCTGCCAGGCTGCGGCGCGTCAATCTTCCAGTCTTCCAACTGGGTAATGGGTTGCACCAGCGCGTCCTCGCAAGCCACGGCAATGGGCCACGGTATGTGGGTGGCTTGTACATTGAAACAATTTGATGCGAGACCAAGAAAGGCACCTGCTCATCATTGGTGAACTCGCAAATCCTATATGAGGTCCCGGCAATTTGCCCAGAGCGTATGGTTCCTTATGAACCTATGGCCTTGAGCACAATCATGCATCGCATCATGAGAGATGCGGTGAAAATCCTGCATTGGAATGATTCGGATGTGTCTGATAACGCGGGGACCAAAGCCAAGCAATTGACGTTCTCTGGGCTTTCCTTCAAAAAGCCAACCCCCCGCCCCCTCCCCCCACCACCCCCCGGCCCCCAACCCCCGCCCCCCCAACACCGCCCCCCCCAAAACGGGAAGCACATCCCCGCCTTCAGCCACTCAGGCTGCACACACCGCCGGTTCACCAACTCCGCCAAGGAGTCCGCGTGGGCATCCTCCTTTCTCTCCTAGCAGCTGATAGGCACCACATGCCCCCCGCACCCCATGCTTACTTTGGGCGCCCTACCAAAAAATGACGAAGAAAACCAGGGTTTGGGTTACTTTTCAGCCCCACCCAAAAAAAGATGAGAAAAACCAGGGTTTGGGTTGGACAACGGGTGTTTTCCATGGATTCTCAGACGTCTACAGAAATGGCCTTCTTTTGGACCCATGGCCCATATCTGCCGCCATCGCTTCATTTGGTTTGCGGCTCCGACCGCTCTCGGCTCTCCTCCTCGAAGCCCTGGTTGACCAAGAAGTCTAAGGCCGCCTTGGACTCCTCACAGGCCAAGAGCTGCTGAGTGGGAGACGTGGCCTAGAGATCTGGGGTGACTTCTTGTTTAATTGCCGTACATGGAAGCGCATGGACCCGTGTAGAAGGCGACTTTCCTCTTGGAAAGGGGCAATTGGCGGGAGGCTAACCCATCTGAATCAAGGAATGCCGAAGGGCCGAAGCTTGGTTTATCCCTATGCGGTGAGCTCTAGTGCAGCAACAAGCCGGCCACCTGCTTGGTAGAAGGTGTCGCAAACTTCTTTTGTCACTGCCTTGTTGCATGCTTGGACTTTGTGAAACAATGCTGTGTCCACTCACATCAGTGGTTAGTTGTCCTTGCAAAGCACAAACTCGCGAAAGGATCATATCAAGCCTATTGGTTCTGTTGTTTTACACTTCGGCTCATGCTAGGTCGGTTGTTGGTTCGGGCAGCTTACTGTTTTACATCATGCGTAGTGAAACGTTCGCTTTAACCCATTCACGCTTCTGCCGACTCCAGGTGCCCCGTTTCGCAAGTGTAGCCCGCCCACCCTCCCGCTCCGAAGGGCTGGGCTTCGCTTTGTTCCAGTCGGCTGCCAAAGACTCGCCGTTCCTGTCTTCCGCGAAGTAATTGCAAATCTTCTTCACCTGATCAAAACCGATCGGTATAAAAATGGAAACGGCCCATGTAAAGAATTAAGAACGCGGCCGTCCCCTACTAACCTTCATCTACCCCGGTTTTGAGTGCGGCCCGCCTGCAAAAAAATGACCCCACTCTGAGCCACACCGATCATCCATTGCCTGCGAAATGCACACGCCACGAGCCCTCCAACTCCCCCCCCCCCCACTCACTGCATGCAAGCCACGTACGACCTCAGCTTTGCCGTGTACGAAAAGAAAATGGCGCCATTTGGGCATGTGCCACAGCTTTCAGCCTTCTTCCGGGGGCAACGTGGCTTTTTTGTCTCTCTTGTTTGGGGCCGAAGAATCTCAAACCCTGCCAAGTGCTTGCTGGCAAGGGTCGTGTCCAGGCTTGGCTTGCCGCCATCCCCTGGCTTCTCCTTGGGCTGCTTGTGCGCCTGGCAGTCTGGAGACAGCGGCCCAAAACTCTGGGAAGGTTGCTGGGAAACTGGGTCGTTTTAGGTTTTGGCCATAGAATTATTTATCCCCAACAATTCCAAACCGATTGTGCCTGGAGAGGAACCGCGTACATGATCTGCTCACAGCATGCGAAAGCCAAGGGCTGTTAAGACTACCTCAACAAGGGTGCTCGTAACTCATGTCGATGGAGAAAAGAGAAAAGCACCGAGCCTCTCTCTTTCTCTTTCTTTCTCTCTCTGATTTCCTAATGTAAACACGTGACCATCTCCCTTGTAAGTGCACATTGAGCGTGACCACGAAATTGCGGGCGCGGCGGCTTTGTTCCATCATGCTCAAATCAATGATGAGCAAGGTGAAGATTATGGGTTTCAAGTCTTCGGACTTGTGGGTGTGGCTCAACATTAAGCAGCAGGGGGTACGCAGGTTGTAGTTTTTGGTTCCATTTACCAATTACCAAGGTTCTATTTTGGCACGTTCTTTTGCGCCACAGCCATATGGCTGTGGGTCAAAACCCTGTACCCCTGGTGAACATCAACATAGGTGGCAAATGGATGTCCATCCACGCAAAAATGCAGCCATAGGTTATGCCCCATGGCCATACTGCCGTCGAAGCCCTTTATGACGACCTCTGACCTGCGACCTTCTGCCACGCCTTCAGCTCCTCGATGTAGGCCGGCTTCTGGCCAGCGATCTGCGTGGAAAAGTGGCCATCGGTGGCCTGCTTCGACTTCCCCTGGCGACAGCATTTGGTGCCCAGCCTGGGGCATTGGCATCTTAGGGGAGAAAGGCGCCAACACGCGAATGACACAAGCCAGCACTCATGCCATTCCCAGATCGGGAACCCAATACTACGCTTGGAATAGGCTGAGCCTAACCAATACTAAACTGGCTGATTTCTCGCCCAGCCCGACCCCAGCCTTCTTAGGGGGTACTCCAGGACCAATATTAAATCAATACCACACAAATACGAAACCAATATTAAACCAACGTTTGCAGCATTCCAACACTGGCACACATCTTAAAGATCACCTTGATTTCTGCCATTCAATTTCCTTTCTGAGACATTGCCATTTTGAATGATTATTGGGCCTGGAAAGGGAGAAAACCCCATTCGGACGAGGACTGTAGCGGAGAATTGCGACTCCTAACTTCTTTACTAAATATCGTTCCGGCCCGCGGGCCGGATTAGTGTTTGATTCATTCCATGCTATTTTCGGGGGGTGCCGGGGGTTTCTTCGGGGGAAGCCATGAACGGAAACCTGCACAAAAAGCTGAAGTGGGCACTGGGCCCGGGGGCAAAAAGCAGCGGGCTTTCCTTCCTCGAAATTGCAAGTGATCCCACGAGCCAGCAGCAAAGAGCCATGACTGAATAACTGAGCAAGCCACCGCAGCTTCTCCCTTCACGTCTTTCTTAGTCTTTGCCTGCTCCTTGAAGACCTTCCTCAGTGCAAGCCGACACTCCAGGACCGCCACTCCAACGCGAGAGCCTCGGACCCGGCGAGCCCAAACAGCCAACCACGAGTTCAAACATGTTTTGGTGAAAGCAAGGCCTGAAGCCGGAGAAAAAGAAAGGCTGAGGCTCTTCTGCCACTTGTTCCTGCGGAGGTCCAGCAGGTCTTCGATCGCAAAGCGGATGCGCTTTGAGAATGCCTACCAAAGCGGAGAAATTTAGGGACTCTTCAACCTGGCTGGTATCCTTTAGGGTTTCCGCTCCAAACCAACAGACAATTTCAACATGGGAAACTCAAATTAAAGTTTGGGCACAGCGCCTGCTTGCCGTCGCTGGACAGTGATCTGGACAAATCCTTCAGCCGCGCCTGGCGATTGCGGCTAAAGTCGCATGGAATTGTGCCATGAGCTCCTGTCCAATCTGTGCATGTTTGCCTGCTGTTTGCTTTCGTATTTGTTTCTTGGGAATTGAGATCGCTATGCCTACAAACTTCCATCCGTGGTCTAAGTGGGGGTGCTTGAAAAATGGGTCGCAAGCTGGCTGGTTTCTGTGTGCTGTTTGATCCTGTACGTGTTGCAGTTCATGGCATTCTTGGAATTGTCCACCAGTGCTGTCTTATATGCTCTAGAATGGGCCAGGCACTTATATCAAAGGTGTCTTTTTCTTGCTATCCCTCTGGTGGTGGGGGGTACCATGCTTTGAACCTATCTTCAAAGCTGTATGTGACAGGGCTTAGTTTGCGCGTTCTGGCGCCTTCTTAGTGCACTGAGCTGCACTGAACGTTGGCATACCTGCCCCGTAGGACTTCCCTGTTAGATGAATTCAACATGTCTCTAAACATCATCCCGGTGCATATATATATATATATACACCTATTTTGCATTGGTCCAGTGCTGCCCATCCAAAAGCCCTCCCTGACAATTCTTCCCTCCTCCCCCCTCCCCCCCAGTGACACACACCAAGGCAAGCCTCCCTGACCTTGCATTTGTTTCAATTTGCCGGGTACTTTTCCGCGGTTTCCAACGCGCCCTTTTCTGAGGTGCAAAGTGGGTAGTGCACGGCCTGGAAAGAGTTCATCAAGTTCTCTCCGTGCTGCGTCTCGTCCAAGGTGTACCCAATCGCCTGGCCAACAGTCAATCTGTTCACACAGACTAACCGCCGTTGACTAACCATGATTCCCACCCCTGCCCAAATGAGGTGTCCCTGCTCAGGCTGAGGTGGCTTACACCAGCAGCCGTCCAAGCACCAGAGCTTGCAACCTAGCCCCTAAGCTAAGTCTGTGCGAAATGCGATCTTGTCATGGGTTCGGGATTGTGAACACGCAGCCTGCAGGAGCTCGCACACACACCTGAGAGTGGCATTCTGGCCGCTCGTTGTTGCAGGGGGGCTGTTGCATTGTCCAAGCCCCATGTGCCACTTGGTGCCTGCCACAATCGCAGCAGCGTGTTCTCACTGTCAACATGTTTCACATGTTCATGGCACGTTCTCGGGCTGCAAGGAAAGCCTGGCAAAATAACAAGCGCAGCCAGTGGCCGATAACGTAATGCGTGTGCGTGTGTGTGTGTGTGTGTGTCTGCGTGTGTGTGTGTGTGTGTGTGTGTGTGTGTGTGTGTGTGTGTGTGTGTGTGTGTGTGTGTGTGTGTGTGTGTGTGTGTGTGTGTGTGTGTGTGTGTGTCTGTCTCTCTGTGTGTCTCTGTGTGTGTCGGTGTGTGTGTCGGTGTGTGTGTCTGTGTGTCTGTGTGTGTCTTCTGTGTGTGTCTCTGTGTGTGTCTCTGTGTTTGTCTCTGTGTGTGTGTCTCTGTGTGTGTCTGTGTGTGCCTGTGTGTGTGTCTGTGTGTGTCTGTGCGTCTCTGTGTGTCTGTGTGTTTGTGTCTGTGTGTCTGTGTGTGTGTGTTTGTGCGCGTGTGCGCGTCTGCGTCTGCATCTGCGTCTGTGTCAGCGTCTGTGAATGCGTGTGCGTGCGGTTGTTGTGGTTGTGCTTGTGCTTGTGCTTGTGCTTGTGCTTGTGCTTGTGGTTGTGGTTGCGGTGTTGGTTGTGGTTGTGGTTGTGGCGATTGTGGTTGTGGTTGTGGTTGTGGTTGTGGTTGTGGTTGTGGTTGTGGTTGTGGTTGTTGTTGTTGTTGTTGTTATTGAAAATTATTGCTCTTGTTCTTGTTCTTGTTCTTGTGCTTGTTCTTGTTACTGTTCTTGTTCTTGTTCTTGTTGTTGTTGTTGCTGGTGCTGTTGATGTTACGTTTGTTGTTGTTGTTGTTGATGTTGTTGTAATAGTTGTTGTTGTTGTTGTTGCTGTAGTCGTTGTTGCTGTTGCTGCTGTTGCTGTTGCTGTTGCTGCTGCTGCTGCTGTTGTTGCGCTGGTGGCGGTGGTCGTGGTGCTGTTGTTGTTGTTGTTGTTGCTGCTGGTGTTCGTGTTCGTGTTGGTGTTGTTGGTGGTGGTGGCGGTGGCGGTGGCGCTGGTGTTGGTGTTGGTGTTGTTGTCGTCGTCGTCGCCGTCGTCGTTTTTGTTGTTTTTGTTGTGGTTGTTGTTCTTGTTCTTGTTCTTGTTGTTGTTGTTGATGTTGTTGTTGTCGTTGTTTCGTCGTCGTCGTCATCGTCGACGTCGTCGCCGTTGTTGTTGTTGTTGTTGTTGTTGTTGTTGTTATTATTGTTATTGTTATTGTTATTGTTATTGTTGTTGGTGTTGGTGTTGGTGTTGGTGTTGGTGTTGTTGTTGTTGTTGTTGTTGTTGTTGTTGTTGTTGTTGTTGTTGTTGTTGTTGTTGTTGTTGTTAATGTTGCTGGTGTTGTTGTTGTTGTTTGTGTTGTTGTTGTTGGCACCCGGCTGTTCAACCGCCCCCAGCAGGCGCGTTACTTTTGATGTCATATTTTTAGCAATCTCTCACGTCTGTTACGCGGGTAACGCATCGCAGTTCCGCATTTGCGTTCCTTTCGCACGTTCCGCGTCTTTTGCTGTCACACTCTTACATATCCGCCACGCCTGCCACACGCATGTCACTCAAATGCACCCATGCCTGGCACATAATAGGCACATCCGCTCACGCGCATGTCGCTCAGATGCACCCATGGCTGACACGTGGTGCGCACACTCACGCATGTCGCTCAAATGCACCCATGCCTGGCACATGGTAAGCACACCCGCCCACGCGCATGTCGTTCACATGCACCCATGGTTGGTACATGGTAAGCACACCCGCCCACGCGCATGTTGCTCACATGGGAAGCACACCCGCCCACGCGCGTGTCGCTCAAATGCACCCATGCCTGGCACATGGGGAGCACACCCGCCCATGCACATGTCGCTCTACGTGGTTCTTGGTTGTTTCTTGCCTGTTGTTGGTTCTTGGTTGTTTCTTGTTGGTTGTGGGTTGTGGTTGGTGAGCTCTCTGGAAACTACCGTTGAACACTGCGTTGCTGCCCTTTAATGGTGTTGAAACCGACTTTTCGTTTTGGACCCTTGCAAAAACCAAGCGTTTCGCTGAAGCGAAAACGCGATGGAAGAATATTCTATGAGCCCGGCCATCATTTCCACACTCTTGACAACAAAGATTTAGATATCGAGAACATAAAAAAAACGCTG